TGCTTAGACTCTTGGCACTCTTAGGTGAGCAGACTTAGTCAGCCTGTGTTGCCCTAACACAAGGTCCATGAAGCACTCAAGGATGGCAAGTGCTTCTTCTGCAAGATGACCATGGCTGAGCTCCAGTGCCAAGCAACTAGAAGGCTCAAAGAGACCAAGAGCAAGGAGAATGTTGTTGGGCTGCTGCCAACCACAAGAGACACTCACCCCATTGGAGAAGCCATGTCTTCCTGTGGCACGGATGTTGACCTGTCTGGGGTGAAGCCTAACTTGGATCTATTGCATGTGGTTGGTCCTCAACTGAGAAAGCATGCATGGCTTGCCCCCCCTCCCGCAGGGACACAACCCGAGCCCACCACACTGGACCCAATGGTGTTCTTGCCTCAGCCTCTCCAGGCACTGGATGTCAATGTGCTCAATGTTGATGCCAGCCTGTGGGATCTCAGTTGGTTGGGGGATTCTGGTCTCAGCTCAACTTGGAATGTCCATCAAGTTCCAGGGGGACCATAGAATCATAGATGCTTGGTCAATGTAACTAGCTAATCAAGGAAACTAGCTATCAAGTACAAAATTGCCTTAGGTAGGACAGTGTCTACACTCTAGACTGCTGAGGCCAGCATCAGCAGCACCTCTACCCCATCACTGAGTGCCCTCACATCTGTGAGTTTCTGCTTGTACTTCTTCAAGCAATCAAGTGATTGTGCCTTTGGAGCTTTCAGGAGAGCATGCTTCTTGGTCTGGTAGCCATGCTGGTATTTGCACAGCTGGGGAAGATGTCTATGCCAAATTAGCAGGCAAATCAAGCTCCAGGCAAGACATCACATACTGGTGAGCCCAATGCCTTTTAGCCTTCACTTCAGGCCTTGTAGAATTTGGAATAATGGCATACAAGAAACCATGGGGGTGGACCTCAAACAAGGTGCTTCTAGTGAATATTGCACATTTGAGGGGAGCATAATGGTACTCAGGGCTGTCACCAGGCATGGTGTGTGTTAACAAGGATACTAGTGGGCTCTCACTTGCTTGGGTCTGGCTGTACATGTGGCCACCAACCAAGACACAGTGGCCATGTGTTGGGTCTAGCTACTCTAGCTAAATTCATCCAATTTTTGCTGGAGGGGCTGGATGCAGGGGTCTGAGGCCCTGGAGACATTTCCATGATGGGGCTGCACTGCACCCCCATCACAGGTCTGCTCCTGACAGGGCTCAACCTAGGTAATATTCATGCTGATTTTGGTGTTTTGCATGTAGAACCCTGATAGACACACATGTGAAATGCTCCTCCAGGAAGAGGGTCCTTTGCTTCTGAGAACATCCGAGTTTCATGACACTTTCTATGCACCTGCATAGTGCATAGTGCATAGCTTAGGTAATTTACTTCCATTTGCATCCGCTTCCGCGCCCCATGCTGCCAGGGTCCTAATCTTACAACAATGATGCGCCATGCCACGCGCAGCCACAAAGCGGGATCAAATACATCATTCGCGCGAACTTTAAAATGAAACACTTTCAACAAACAAAAGAAACCTCGCCATGCTACTTTACTTCCAAGAAGATATCATCCTTTCTTAGACACTTTGAAACGTAAAAAATGATCAATAATTTCATTATCTATACTCTCAGAAGGTGAGCTACCGAGCGAAGGAAGCGTTTTCGACCTCATGGAAGCACGGAAGCATTAGGTAAGCGCAGGAGGGGGAAATCTGTTTGCCCCCGTGAAGTGGACCCAGGGTCCACTTGCTGGACGCGGACACGGGGGCAAACGGAGGTATCTTAGTCAGCGTCTATGGGCGCAGAGGGCATAGAAAGTGTCACGAAAGTCGGATGTACTGTTGCTTCTACATAGTAACAGCGTGCTTACGTGTGGCTACTTCAACCATATTCTGTTCGCTCTACATCGCGTGTTGTTAGCACAGCCGCACTGTTGACGACAGGAACGTTGGGAACCCACGCACTTGACGCTTCACCAGTACTTCCAACACCATCACCAAAGACGGACAAGGGATTCGCCCATGTCTGTTGATATCTCCGATCCGAGCATCCCTGCTGCTTACAACGAGGTCATCGGCAAAGCTGCCACCAACTGGTATCGTCACGTTGTCCGCTGAACACATAGGAAGCCGAGCGCTGATGTGTGTTAGGTTGCTCTTGCGCTATGGGAATACGAACAGTACCTTGACATTGTACGAAACGGGGTCTCATGGGCTTGAGGAGCTTCGAGGGCATCTGAAAGAAGAGGTACTCTTCGGGCTGTTGAGTCTTGAAGGGAGGTTGCTGCTTCTGGTGTATATGCCGGACAATGTGAGCGGAGTGAAAAGAGGTACGTCAGTCTCATCTTCCGTTTCAAACATGCTAACAGCGAGGCAGCCCGAGCGCTTGTCCATTCGCGCACTGTCGGCAACACGTTCAGAGTATGCTGATCTCGCTTGTACATGATGTGGATATCTGACCACGCGACAGGCTCACGATGCCGTTCTCACTGCATCCAGGCCTTCACAGGTCGAGGAGGAGGATGTCAGAGCTAAACTTGGATTGAGTCTTGAGCTCTCTCCGAAGGCCACTAATTTCGTATATACGAAAACTTCCCCGCGCTCCCAACCAGCTATCATGCCTCCGACACCACCAGCTTCAGTTCCACGTTCGTCAGGTGCATCTTTCGAGCAGCGATCTCCTATACATGATTCTAGAGGACCTGTGTCGGCAGGTAAACCTCCAAGTGCTTTCGAACCACGTGCGGATCATCGGGCGTCAAGCGACTCCCGGTCATCATCACATCGCCGTGTTGTCTCGAGTGGTGCTTACAACCAGCCAAGTCTCAGCAATGGCTTGTCTATCGAGACACCTGAGAAACCTGCTGCAATAGTACTTCATGCCCTTCTCTTGGCGGGCGCATCCGCTGGTGATGGAGCACCGCCGCCGCCACCGCCCAAATCCGAATTGCGATCGTCGTCTACTCCGCCTTCTACATTAGTCTACGCTGCTGGAAATGGCGTTCCGTATCGACCCCAAGGTCTCCAGGCGACATCCTCTATGGCAGCTAACGTGACCCACTCTCAAGCGCCCTGTGGCACTCAACAAGACATCCTCCCATCACAGATCCTTTCACAGCCGATTATTGACCAAATGCCACGAGTCGGACCCCCGCAGACGGAAGCTCAGCTACAGGCCGCCATGTCTCGAGCAAAATGGCAAGCCGAGGAAAAGGCCGCCGACAGCTCGGAACCGGGCCAATCTCCTATCCGGGCGGATCCCGTCGCGTTCGCTGAGGCAGAGCATCTTAAACGGGAAAACGAGGTCATGGAGAGGACAAAACTAGATGCAGAAGAGCAACAAAGACTATATCTCGAGGAAATTCGACGTCTAGAGGCAGCGCAGAGGCTGCGACAAGAAGAAATGCGGCATGCTGCAGAAACCAAACGGAAGGCGGATGAAGCACAGAGGCAAGCTACTGCTGAGAGACAACGACAGGAGGAAATGCTGGAAAGACAACGTCGGATGGAAGAGGAAGTTGAAAAGCGGCGAAGGGCCAAAGAGGACAAGCGACTTCAGAGGGAGAAGTGGATGGAGGAGCGAGCCAATATGGAAGACAAGTTCCGGCAGCTTCAAGTGGCTGGTGCCGTAATGTTAACTGGGTGGGCGAGTCATCAAGTCGGAGTCGTATGGCGCCGTCGGTATTTCCAGCTTCGACCCGACTGTTTATTACTATTCAAGAATGCAGAGGTGTGTGCTCTTACCTGTGTTCGCTCTGAGGGACTCACGATGCCTCAGGAAATTACTCGACCTGTTGGAGATTTTCCAGTAGCCGACATCGAAGCTGTCCACGATGCCAGGGATGAGTTGCAGCTCCCTCATTCCGTCAGGGTAGACTTCAAAGGATCGGACCCTGCGTACTTCTATTGCGACTCCCAAGAGGACACAGAAGTTTTCATTGCGGCTCTGAACCAAGCCGCTGCACTGTGAGCTTCGTTCAGCGAAGCTATTCTGCCACTTTTGATATCCTAATTATTATCACGATTGTTGCACGAAGAACTTTGTATCTGTTGAATCGTCACATTGGTTGTAGCTGTTGCGAGCAGGACCTGGAATGAACAGAAGCTGACTAAGCCAGCAACGTTCCGTTAACCCCTGTTTGGTGGGGCCGGCCCTAAACGGGTGCAAATGATGAGTGACCCGATTGGCGGGGAGGCAGATTTTCCGGATGATGCCGGTGCCGAAGCCCCCTTCCTCTCAAAAAGTTGGCAGGCGATGCGGTGCAGGGTTTCCCATTTGACAACCACCCTACTCATCTCTTCATCGCACACCCCTCTCTTCGCAACAACCACTTACCCCTCCCCCCCCCCCCCAACATCAAAACTAGACTTCATTCTTCATATTCTTTTTAATCGAGTATGAATAATGGCAATGCGAACGTAACCAACTCGATTGAGGAGCAACTTGGTAAGCATACATCTTCTGCAGGTGTTGTACTGCGCACAGGGGCCATTGTACTGAACAACTTTTCAGCGAGTCTCAATCTTGGTGGCAAAACTGCTTACATCCCTCCTCATATGAGGAGTTTGCCGTCTGTCTCCCCTTCTATCCGACCTGCGAATAACGGGTATGTTTCGTTGTTAGTTCCATGCATGTGCATATACTGACAGATTTTCTTGCAGCACTGGTGCTGTCTCTCCGTCTATTGACCCCCGTCAACCATCTTACTCTCGCGGCGGGTACGGTGGCGGATTTGGTGGCGGCCGCGGCGGATACCGCAGTGACGGCTATGACGGTGGTCACTCTCGCGGTGGCCCTGGCGGCTATGACCGTGGTGGGGCGGGATATCCCTCCCGCGTCTCCGATGGCAGTGGTGTTTGGAAAGATGACCAACACGTGCTCGGAGGAAAGAATGCTCGAATGGAACAAGAGCTGTTCGGCGATCCTAACGATCCGACCAAGCAGCACACCGGTATAAACTTTGAAAAATACGATGACATTCCCGTCGAGGCCACGGGCGTGGGCATCCCCGAACCGATTACCGCTTTCAATAGCCCTCCTTTGGATCCTGTTCTTCTCGAGAATATCCACCTTGCTCGCTATTTGACTCCCACTCCAGTTCAGAAATACTCTGTTCCTATTGTCGCGGCGGGACGCGATCTAATGGCTTGCGCCCAGACTGGCTCGGGGAAGACGGCTGGTTTCCTCTTCCCCATCTTGTCGGCTTCGTTCACCAATGGTCCAACTGCACCCCCTCCCGATACAGCCGGTTATGGTGGACGTCGCAAAGCATACCCTACTGCGCTCATCTTGGCTCCCACCCGCGAACTTGTGAGCCAGATTCACGAAGAAGCTCGCAAGTTTGCATACAGGTCTTGGGTGAGGCCTGCCGTCGTCTACGGCGGCGCAGACATTGGTCAGCAGCTGCGTCAAATTGAACGCGGTTGTGATCTTCTCAGCGCTACTCCCGGCCGTCTCGTCGATCTCATCGAGCGTGGCAGGATTTCTCTTGCCAACGTGCGGTATCTCGTTCTTGACGAGGCCGATCGTATGCTTGACATGGGTTTCGAACCTCAAATCCGTCGCATCGTTCAGGGAGAAGACATGCCCGACGTCAACCACCGCCAAACACTGATGTTCAGTGCCACCTTCCCCCGAGACATTCAGATGCTTGCCAAGGAGTTCCTGAAGGATTACATCTTCTTATCTGTTGGGCGTGTTGGGTCCACTTCGGAAAACATCACTCAGCGTATTGAGTTCGTTGAAGACCACGACAAGCGCTCTTATCTCCTCGATATTCTCACCGCCGAGGGCCAAAACGGCTTGACCCTGATTTTCGTCGAAACGAAGCGCATGGCTGACATGCTCAGCGATTTCTTGATGGGAAGTAGTATTCCCGCCACATCCATTCATGGCGACCGCACGCAGCGTGAACGTGAACAAGCGCTTGCCACTTTCCGCTCAGGGCGTACCCCCATCATGGTCGCGACTGCCGTGGCCGCCCGTGGTCTCGATATCCCAAATGTTATGCACGTTATCAACTATGATCTTCCTTCCGACATCGATGATTACGTCCACCGCATTGGTCGTACCGGCCGTGCCGGTAACACCGGTATCGCTACTGCATTCTTCAATCGTGGGAATCGTAACATCGTTCGCGACTTGTTGGAACTTCTTAGGGAGGCCAATCAGGAAGTTCCTCAGTGGCTTCTTGACATTGCATCGGAAAATTCGTTCGGCGGTGGCGGTTTCTCTCGTGGACGAGGGGGAGGACGCGGCCGTGGCGGTCGTGGTGGTGCCAACCGTGATTACCGTACGCAGGGCTCTGGAGGTGGCCGCGGTGGGTACGGCGGCGGAGGCTCTGGTGGCAACTACGGCGGCGGAGGCGGGTATGGCAACAACTACGGCGGTGGCAGTGGGTACAGCGGTGGCGGCTACAGCGGCGGTTCTGGTGGTGGCGGCTCCTGGTGGTGAATACCCACCAAAAAGTGCTACCCACAGCTTCTGCAACCGACCACACGCGTTTTCTTAACACCGCGACTTCGTTCATCTCACTTCAGAACTTCGACACCTTTTCTTTCTCGCCTGGATGCTGTGATTTCGGAACTCCCTTCGGGTTTTTGGTGCATGCTCTCGTGTCTCGTCCCAACGTTATACCAACGATGCATATCTCATTCCTCATCGACCAATCTTATTCACTAGACCGGTGTGCTGGGGCATGGGAACCTGGCTGGTTCAACTGATAGAGTGTGCGGTAGAGGGGGTTAGAGAAGGAACTACAACCTTCGCTCGATTAGACGTCATCCCTTCCTGCATGCCTGCATTTTGACGAGACTGACATTATATCAAGAGCATCAACGACCTGTTATAGAGCATTCACAACATCACTGTATCCTAGCTACTTTGTTTCCTTCTACAATGCATGCGTGTGTGCCCATCGGTGTTTTTCACTATTTTTAAAGTGAATTAAACCATGGTAATAAACAGTACAGAACGAGGTGGGTAGGCTTACGTGCGCCCCAAAATCATGGACTGCCTATTGCCTCCGCGACTCGTCAGCAGTCACAACGTGTCTGTCCTATGTGGCCTACCCAGCATTTTCTTTCCTCATCACCATCCAAGGCGACACCGCCGTTCTCTCATTTAACCGCACTATACCATTCTTGGAGGACGACGTTGTTAGTATGTTCCAAATCATGGCCTCTTTGGGCCATGTAGATCAGCATTCACACTGCTTAATTTCTTCCGTTTCCAGACGACGAAAATCAGCCAGGCGGAATGGCTTACGAGTCGATGGCTCCTCCCTCGCTAGACATGGGAGATTTCTTCGAAGGCCGTCATATCCGACCCTTACCCAAGCGCAAGCGGATGCCCCTTGACTTTGCAGATCTGACGGAAGACTTTTACGAGGATTTGCGGCAGTCGCTACCAGTGGACGGCTCTTTCATGGAGTCCTTACCCTCGTTCATGAACGCCGCAAATATCGACCCCACCTCAGCTGAGGCTTATTTTCCCCTGATCCACAGCATCCAGCCAGAGCCGGTGCAGCCCCCGGAGGATCCGATTTCGACTGCACGAATGCAATCTCCGACGGTTAACGGCATTGAGGAAGAGGAGGATAGGGGCGACGGTGATTATGTCGATCACCTGCAGAATCCAGCCAATTCAAAGAAGAGGAAGATTCCCGGTGCTAGACGTCCTGAACACTTTTCGCCTGAATCGGACGGGGCGATCGATCACGGAGGTGGTGCTGCTGCTGCAGAGAATGCGTCGGGGCATGGTGGCTCTGTGCAAAGGGAGATGTCCACGGTTCGAACAGTGCATGTATCAAGGACGGCACTTGCTGGAGAACGTGTTCGAGAGAAGCTGAGAGCGAGACGGCGACAGCTAGAAAATGTCATCCCTGCGGGGTCTGACAAGCTGGCCGTTGACCTTGCGCTTACGCAGTTGAACGTTCCTTCGGCCCCCACACCTTTAGGTGGCGCCTATGTGACAAAGGGACGATCTTTAAAGCGGAAGGCTGGTATGACGACCCCGACACGAAAACCCCTTGCGGATAGAACAATACATGAGGCGGACAACGGTTTCCTCAGCCAAGAGTTCACTTTCGAGTGTCGCAGCCCGAGTATGAAGTTCTTTCACTGCATGTTGATTGCATCTGAATCCTTCGATAGGTTCGGCTCGTTACATCACTGTCAACGAGGACATGCACATGCTGCAGGCTACGTTCGAAGACGAAATAAGCCGCCAGGCGGCAAAAGCGGCCGAGGAGGCGTCCAAGCTGGCCGCTATTGTTGCCAACCATCATACTGACGAGTCCAAAAGCAACAACGATTTGAAAGGTCGCAAGCGCCCGTCTGCAAACCAAGCACCACTGTCATCTGCATCACCCGAAGTTACTGGAATGTCGAAACATAAGGGGTCGAAGAAAAAGAAGCGGTCTGCAATTGCCAATGCCTCCAATCCACACCATTTCCGCAACTATGTACCCTCTCGGCTCCCATATACCAGTCATCCATCTGGCGCTGCCGTTAATGCCGCAAGTCTCAATCTTGCCTTCGGACCATTACCAGTCGAGTTCCTCACGTCACTGCTACCTCCCCGATCTGGAAAATCGACAGACGTTGCTCACGATACAGCTGCAGGTGTCCCTCCGGCCGATGAATGGATTTGCCCCTTTTGTGATTATGACGTATTTTACGGCGATGATGCGAAATTCCGCAGAGCGATTAGAAAGCGAAAGCGAATTCTGCGACGGCGCAGACGTGCAAGAGAACGAGCTGCAGCTGCAGCAGGCACAACGGCAGTTGCCCCTTCAGCGGATAGTCAGTCGGGTGGTTATGTCGAGGATGACGAGGCGATTAGCAATGAGGCGGGGCGTTCTGATGTGGGCCTCCCAGGCGGTGGTGGAGCTGCCCGTGGTAAACGAGAGGGTGCCGGGTGAGCAGAGCATATTTGGGTAGTGTAGAACCTGTTTCTTTCTAGTAAGAGAACACAAGTAGCCTGGTGACCCAGCAGTTGTAAACACTTTTGGATCTCTTACATGTTGTTACGCTCGCATATTTCTTAATATTCTTGCGTCATCGTACATGTTTCGATGAGGCACTTGATTTCCTGACATCATTCCCCATTCGGTACCGGGCATATTTCTTCCATCGGTCCGATGCGCCTCATGTCTTCGTGCTTCCGCCGGATACTGCCGTTGGTCTTATAAGGGGCAGTGCCCAGAACAGAAGAAGACAAATTCTGTTGCTTGAGATTTCCGCACCCCTGAGAACGGCAACGCGGTGAGCAGCGATCGTGTGGTACATCACACCGGAAGTTCCGGCTTTTCAGGCCTCAGTTTCATGGAAAATGGCTCAAAAGCGTGAGCCGGCGGTAACACATCGCTTCCAGATAGATCCTACAGATGGATCCGTCATCAAAGGGGAGATTGGGTTAATCTCGCCTTTGTGCAAGGACACCATGATCTGCTGTGGGCTGATCGTTGCCGTTGTACGACATGCCAGAAACGTTACATGATTCTCATTCATCCGACGGGTTTCCGTGTGAGAACGGGGCGCCACGGCGATGCATGGCTTTAGGGAAGGTGGGGGTGGACGCCCCCGAGGGGGAACACACGGCATTGGCGGACGAGAGATGGTGGTTGGGATTGAAAAGATAACCCGGCCTGCCACCCAGATTAGCATTCTCAAAGGGACCCCGGTGATACGGAGGCATATACAATTGGCAGGTACAGCCCCCTCTTTGACCTTCCCCCAAGTGAGCAAGCTGTGTGTACATTTTGCATGCCCTTCGCCTGCAGTCCCGCAGCCTTCCTCATCCCTTCCTTCCATCTCTTTCTTCTCCCCGGGCGTGCACGATGTTGAGCCCCTCTCACCATGCCTCTTCCTCGGCAGGGGCAGGCCCCTTTGACCAGCTGCATTCTCATCACCATCAAGATCTATCCGCATAGTGGGTTTGAATTCGCTTTCTCGCTCCTTCAGTTATCCGGTATTCGGTCATCAATCACCTCGGACGAACGCTTTTACCGTTTTTTACATCAAAAGCGGTCCGCCATCCCGAAGTTCTTTCTGTATTCTTTATAAAACGCTCTCCGCTCTTCTACGGCGTGCTCCCCACGCGTAGTAACGCTTTTCCTGCCCTTGATCTTAGCGCCCACGCGTCGTGCGCACCGGTGTGCCTGGATATAAAGCGGGGCTGTTCACTTGAACCGTCGTCCTTCACATCTTACTGCCCTCTTTCCCTTCTCTTCACATGCATACCTCCCAACAAAACCGATCTCGTCCTCACCTACCCGTTCCTCATGGACCACCTGGGCAGGGTCATCCGCCTGTCTATTCGCTCAATTCTTCTAAGGGGCAGGAACTCTACGCGTCTGCACCTCCTCCGGGGTCATTCTCTTTTCACTATTCACCTTTTTGAGTGGCCATCTGAACTGGACTTTTTCTGACAGTGCCGGTCACTCATACTATGCTGCAACCTCGTATAATTCCAATGTACCATATTATCAGCCTCCGAACCCACACGTGCGTACTTTTTCATATGCATGGTGTTTCTTGATTGTTCAGCACATCTTTTGCCGCCCATAGTATTCCCAATACACTGGCCAACAGCCTCCTGTGCCACCTAACCGTCCATACTATGGTCCAATGTCGTCAATCCAAGGTGATCGACCAAGTCCAGCACCTAAGGGACGGCCTGCTTCTCCCAGCGCCGGGCCTCCACAATACCGGTCGCGTTCTCCGGACCTAGTACAAGTGAGATCGTACGTTTTTCAGACCAGCGTGAATGTTGATCAGAATCTCTGGTAGGTCGCCCGTCCGTACCGTAGTATTATCGGATCCCTTTCCTCGGGCGAAATGCCCTCCGGAGGTCAATTACAAAACTTGCTCCATTCTGCCATCGAGGGCCTGCAACTCCTGGATCCAGACGTCGCCCAGCACATGTCAAATGACGATGTTGGTCCTGACGACATTCGCTTTCGAAAGACGAGACCCCGTGTTGAATACAGGGAGCGACCTCCGAATCAGCTCACTCCTCCGCTTCAGACCGACAGCGGCAAGTCACTAGACGACAATGACTCAGAAGAGGAGGAAAAACCGAAGCTTCAAATGAAGCGAAGGGCAAGTTCCAGCGCTATTGTCTCGTAATTTTTGTATTGACATACTTTGTGCCAGAAGCGAGAGGGTGCTGGCCCCGATTGCTCTGGATGTCATTCTACAACTACGCCGGAGTGGAGGCGTGGGCCGATGGGTAAGTTGCCTTGTCCGTAACAACCCGAGATTCGCTCCAATTCTCGGGATCTGCAGGGCCTCGCACGTTGTGTAACGCATGCGGACTCGTGTATGGAAAACTGGTGGGTGCCAACCAATCCAAGACCTCGGTCACCTCTTTCCTAATGGCGTATGCAGGTGAACAAAAAGCGCGCGTACGACAACGCGATCGCCCAGGGCCAATATATTTCTCCTACTGTCCTCTTTGCGGATGAAGCCAACGAGGGATGGGGCGACAGGATGCCTACGACCCCTGAGGAATCGCTGGCACTTATCAAAAGGGTGCGGAAGGCCGTCGTTGGCGGAGGGCATCCGCGCAAACCCAAAGACGGGGTATCCTCACCCGGCTCGAATGACTCTGGCGGAAGTGCCCGTTGCTAGTGATTCCATTTTGTTTTAACAGCCATTGCCTGGGGCATTGGTTACAGTTCACTCTATCGTATTCCACACGCTGCACTAATGGGTTCACAAGTTGCCCTCCTATTCCTGTGCAAAGTATCAATTATTCACAACGTATTGTTTTGTGATATACAAATTCTACATTGATTACGCTAACGCTCGTTCCCAGGGCCCGCTATTCACAACGAGGTATCTCTGGGGAACATTTTGAAACACCTGCTGTGCGTTGTTACATGACGTTGGCGTGAGGCATGATGTCTGCGCCATTCAGTTCTGCGAAGATTCGTCGTGCTTCCAGAAGATGGAAGATTCCATGTGCATGTTCACATTCTGCCGGGATGAGAATGTGGGGCACGGGCTGCCATATAGAATCTGATTTGGCCAGAAGTTGGGACCCGCAAATGCCGTCGGGTACCGGCCGCGGAGGGCGAGGGCATGAAAATCTGCGCAATATCGTGAAATACTTATATGGTCATTGTCTAAGATGGAAAGGATATCAATACAATGTGGGATCCCAAACAAAGATAGCAGAAGGAATTGGCGATGGCGGGATCGGGCACGTCATACATTCACTAGCTATTTTCGATCGTGGCGGCGAGCATCTTCGCAAAGCGCGAACGTTCGCGGATCTTTGCTCCGCAGAAGAAGAGAATGAAAGGGATAACGCCGAGCAACGAGGCCAGAAGGGCGATAAGTGTGCTTGCCCACTGCGGTGTAAGCCGCTCATACATGGAAAAGGTGAACAGTGGGAAAGCAGTTGCAGCCCTGTATCCAGTTACTGCTCAGCCGGCCGCAACAAAAACAGTACATTAGGAAAAGGTAACTCACAAGTTTCCTACGGGTTTCAGGATCCGGGGTAGGTCAGCTGGTGCACACGCAGCATGGATACGTACTCACGGCACAGGCTCTGTCCGGCGAGAGCTGATGAGGCAAAGATAAGATAACTTGATCGGCAAATCGCGTCAGCGCACGCGAATAGAGGCGTGGGGATTACGCACGCATCTGCGAGGTAGCTGAACACCGCCAGATAGACCAGGAAGACGGCGGTGGTGATGATGGTGACCCCGATCACCGGTGCGATCCAGTGAACTTGTGGGTACGAAGTCCAGGCATAAATGAAGGCCCCTGGATCAGGGTGAGTTGCATCGCCTATCGGACGTATCGGGCTCGGCGATCTTGCTTACCGATCGGGAACATGATGCCTGCCAGGCACGCGGAATACAAGCGCGCTTCCGCCCCGATGCGGCCTACATTTCGCCGGTATAGACGTTCCTGGACGAAAAGGTTGAACGCCCATCCGATGAGTGTTCCTACACTTTTCCGAAAATGAGCGAGCGAATCGCGCGAAGCAGAAGCGTGCTTACACCATTGAGATGAACGCGAGGCCGAGTTCGCCGGTGTTGAAGCCGTAGATGGTCTGGAAGACATAGGGGACAGATCTAGAACAATAGTTAGAAGATCGTTGTGCGAAGGTCTGGGCAAGACTGACTCTAATAGGCAGTAGAGCATGCCCCATGCGAAACCAACCCATAACTGGCCATGTGTCAGGGACGTAAAAGTTCGGGAAAGTTACAGGGCATACGCTAAAGCTCGCGACGACCGGTTCTGTTATCAGGAGAACTGCAATCGTAGGTGGCCAGTAAGCATTTCTCCTTTGTACGTACACAGGGTCCGCCACTCACACAGCGGTCGAGTAAAAGATATGTAGATGAGCGTCTTGAGGCTCGTGCGCTCGTCTTCGACTCGCGCGCGATAGCGGTTGTCCCCCGTCTCCTTTCGGAGCTTCGCCGCTTCGCGGGTGAGCAAGATGCTGGCACGGGTCTCCTTCATCACGATGCACATGAAGGCGAAGCACGCGCCGCCGAAGATGAGTCCAAGCCACTGGATCCATCTCCATTCCAGGTGTGGATTCATGTCCACGTACCCGACCGTGACGGGTCCAAGACCAGTCATGAGACATGCCATGAGAGCAAAGAGCGACATCGGGATACCCCGTTCGGCAGTCACCCAAATATCCGCAAGCGTACCACCAACCTATGACTTTTGTTTAGACCGGATCGAGCCTGCAGGGATGACACAACATACCAGTGTACTTCCCGTACTTCCTGCCATACCCTGGATGAAGCGGGATACCAGTACGGTCTGGATATTCTTCGCTACCGCCATTGGGATGAAGAATACTGTCGGTCCTACATAAGCGCCCATCCTGCCTCATCTAAACCCACTTACGGGCAAATATCGCCGTGCTGACAAGGTACATGGGCAGCCTGCCGAACTCCTCACTAAAGCTCGCCAGGACCAATGGAGCAAGTCCGAAACCCAGCGCATACATGCTCAACCCAAGCGCGGCGAGCTCTTGAGAACACCCAAGATCCCGCTCCATCGTGTTGTATCCCATGGCGTAGGCAGATCCGGTGGCAGCAGTGAGCGCGGTGAAGGAGACGAGCACGGCTGTCATGGCCCATTTTCGTGTACGGGAAAAGTTGAAGGGATTGCGTGGGTCGCCTTTCTCGTATTCAACCTGGAGGAGTTGGTCAGAATAAAGAGAGCGGTGTCGAAGAAGAGCGGACACACATAGATGACATCCTCGTCGACAGTCTCATCGGACAAGCCGCTCTCCAAACCTTTTTCTGTCACGGCAGGCGGTACAGCTGTAGCCGTAGCTCGGCTCTCGGGACGCTTGGTCTCTTCTTGCTCCTCCTGGATCTTGCCCTGATCGTGCGCTTGCTGCTCATGCTGATGATGGGCATGAGCGTGACGAGCATGGTGCGGGTGATGATGAAATAGCCCCTGAGCGACCTCTTCGTTGCTCGGTAGCTCGTGTATCCGGGGGTCGATAGGTTCGTGTACGTGCGCTCGATCAGTGAGAGCGAATCCGTCCACGGAATGTCGCCTCTCTTGCATCGGCCGGTGAGCCTGTGTCTCCCCCGCATCTCCGCTCGCTGTCGGTACGGCTGGGACTTGTGTCGCTATTGCCGGTGGGGGAACCAGCGTAGTTGCTGAGGTGCTAGCGGCGACGGTCATCCTCTATAATTCACGGCGGTACCCTTAGGAGACGAGGCAGGGTAGTGTGCAGGAATCGGGTAGATCGGGAGGAAGATAACGAGGGCCAAGCTAGACCAGACTGACGCTCGGCGATGTAGTTATACGACGAGTAATTTCATCGATTTTTTTGCCGTCTAAAGAACCATGCGTAAAAGGCGCTCAACGTGAAACGAGTCAGCCTCCAGTTTGCCCGTCATCTCCGATAAGACTTTCAATTCGGCAGATTGGTTGCCAGCCGGGGCTAAGTCCGATACCGGGCACTAGAAGCAGCTTGCCGAACAGCCGCTTTACGCCGACCTCTTTCACATTTTCCAGGAAATGAAATGAGAAAACGAGATATGACTGTTCCGCAACAACAGGTGACGGTTCTTATGCCTCTGATGGTAGGAAAGTAACCATCTATGGTACTTTCTCCATATTCGCTGTATTCTCATTCCCGGTTATGTCGGTCTCTTCGAGAAGTCAGTGGCTGTCAGCATGCGTCATTGTCCAAAAAAATTAGTCCCGTGAAAGTGGTTGACCATGAAATAGCCCAACCAGCATCATATAAAAGCAGACCTCCTTGGACTCTATACATCTACATTCTTGCTTTGAAGGGACGACTGATCAGGTGTAAACATGTCTATGGAAGCGCAGCTGGAGGAGGTATGGACATTTTATCCACTTATTCGGCGTCGCTTGGTGACCACGGTGTTATCGCCCAGCTCCTTCAATTCCTGCATGGTCGAAATCCTCAGGCACGGCAGGTCGCGCTTGCCAACCTCGTCGGACATACAGCAAAGGAATCACTATATCGAAGTTTGTTTGTTCCACGCTCGTCGGGAGGACTCAAACCCAAGGGAGAGGGGAAACAGGCGGTCGTGATTAGGGACTTGAAGCTGCTGTGTATGGACCAGCCTGTATGCACATCTCATATCATCCTGCCTTCTTCAGGCAGCAGATGAGGAGATGCAGCATAGATCTAACATATTTTCAGGCAACAGCACATGATGCGTTCCGCGCCCTCGTCAACATATCGGACAATGTGCAAGTGATCTCTCACCTCATCGACACCACCTTCCTCATCTTCCTCGCTTCCTACATCCTCAACCCTACCTCCGTACTTGCCGATCTCGCGTGCATGCTTCTCAGTAACATCACCGTCAACCCGTCTGCATGTAGCACATTGGTGATGATGAAGCTCCCTGTTATACCATTGCCGAAGGAGAAGCCGCCCTTCTACCCCACCGCGAGCAGGAGCGCAACAAGCAATGCACCGGCGAGTTACAGGCCTTCGCAACAAGAGATACAAGTGGCCGCACTGCCTTTACTACTGGACGCGTTTATCGATGGTGCGCACGTACAAGTTGCAGGCGAGACTCAGGAGAAGCGGAAGGGAGATCTGCACTTCCTCTCGAGTGTGTTTGCAAACATATCAGCCGTGAGTCTATGATTCTTCAAAATGTTGCACGGGATTTCTGAGCGCGAGAAGTAGATACCCGCAGGACGCACGTTCTTCCTTACACCCCTGTCGCCTGAACCGTCGGTATTTGGAGAGGGAGGCAGAGCCGAGTATATGCTGGCCAAATTGCTCGCCTTTACGGAACATACGGATCTGATCCGCCGTGGAGGAGTCTTATCCACCATAAAGTATGCCCCTGCCTCATATTACAGGACTATGTTGATCAGTATGCAGGAATTGTGCATTCTATGCCCCGGCACACCGCGCTCTCCTATCCCCTGAGACAGTAAAGGTTAAATGTCCACCAAGCGAGATACCAGCTCCCGGAATCAGCATCTTGCCTTTCCTGCTCCTCCCCCTGGCGGGACCAGAGGAGTTCGACCTAGATGTATGCCGAGGCCCTCTACCATCACATCACTGATCGACTGAACTCTCCCGCCAGGACCAGGAACTCCTTCACCCTACGCTCCAGTTCCTCCCTCCGACGAAGAGCCGGGAGAAGGACCCTGTGCTCAGGCTTACGATCATCGAGAGCTTTCTGTTGCTTTGCACCACCCATTGGGGGCGGGAGCGGCTTCGGGAAAACGGGACATACCAGATCATACGGGTGATGCATGAGACAGAGGAGGACGAAAAGGTACGCTTTCTGGACTAGTCCCACTCACACAGGGTGTTCATTTATTATCTCGTGGCTGACCCTTGATTCCAGGTAATAGAACATATAGATCGACTAGTCAACCTACTAAAACGGGACGAGACCGAGGAGACAAAGAAGGACGACGGCATCGTGGCACGCGAGCTGGCTGAGGAAGGTCTGATACCGGATGACGAAGACGCCATCATGGAGGTGTAGCCTAAGCCGATACCGCGGTGCTCGGCGCACTAGCGGCGACTGCGGCGGTTCTTGGCCGCAGCATCTCTGTGCGCAAGGGCCACACACGGCCCATCCATGTCGCCAGCTCTGTGTGATCCTTATACGGGTCGTCGGTGTTCGGATGTATCAGTACCCTGGATTTGGGAGATCTGTTAACAGGATAATCAAGTATGTTGTACTCCATATGGACGTACGAGCACGGACCCCTGTTCACGGCAAGCCAAGAGAACAGCGCCCCAGTTTGGTGAGGGGAGAACGTATTCGCTTCGAACATCGCAACCGGGTGTGGGCCGACAGGACGATCCCAGAACCTGTAAATCCGGATCTGTAGGGAGAGGAATGTGAGCTTCACACCCAGGGCCGGTCGGAGACAGGGGCATCACCTCGGGGAATTCGCGCCTTATCCGCTCGTGGAGGGCTCGGGCGAACTTGGTCTCCTCTTCATCTGTCTGGATGTAGTAGACTAGCCGCCCAAGAACATCAGCCTGATGTACATTCCCGGATATGAAAGAGAGAGCCACAAGGCTAAGGATACTAGCTGGACTAGGTAAGACTCACTGTGGAAGTCGAACCCGTTCTTGCCCGGCTTGAACTGGGTTGGAAACTGGTCGTACGTCTTTGACCTAGTTGAGAACCAGGATGAGCAATCGTCCCATACTTGGGGGCTTGGTGGGTTGAAGCTTATGGGCAGGAGAAGACCCTTACTTAGGACCAGGCGGATTGTACAGCGACTTGCCATCGGGATTGATCGTGTCCGGCAAGGGCTCTGCATTCTCGTACCCTGCTAGGGGATTAGGGTAAGGCAAAGACATCTTGGATAATGATATGAGATATTTGGTCAAAGTGAGAGTTGTGAAGCCCTGTTCACCGGTGTACAGTACGTGCTAACGAAATATATACTAGCGTGCCCGAAAGAGCGCAATTGTCAGCTGAACATTGCGCAAGGGTACGGCCGAGGGAGCGCGTCATAGCGCTGAGTCAGCACTTCGATTAACTTACCTGAACGATCGGCCCAAATGGCTTTGACGAAGATGTTGCCATTTCACAGAGAGGAGAGTTGCACGCAAAGTAATAATGTTGCAAGCGATCTCATCACCTTCTGGATGCTTCCTGTTGCCAAACCTGACTTAGATGTTGAAAAGAAAGCTGACGTCGGCGCAATGTCCGCCTCACCCAAGATCAAGAAACGGTATCCATCACGTCACATCCCAACGACGAATAGAATCCACTGACTTCGTGGAGAGGGGTAATCATGGAAGCGTCAGGGGAATTGTAGCAAATCAATCGAGCTTGTAGAGCGCGGCTTACTATGTAGGTAAGTCTCCAGACCATTGCACCATGCCAGACGCTATGGAAGTGCATGCAATCACCGAGTAATAGAGGGGTTCTGAAAGCGATCCTAGCTTCGCATCGACGATCTTGAGGTATGATTCCCGCTAAATGGTCAGCCTCCAATAGATATAAATGCGGTTCAGAAGCCACCACATTCCAGTTGCAGCTTCCAGGAGCGCAATGTAGGTCAGGAATGTCAGGATATCCAAGTATGGTCGGTCTGATAACGGAGGAAAATCCCCCGAGGATCCGAAGTGGTTATTGCGGGGGAATGTTCATCTTTATCGACACCGATGCCTAGTTATTCGTGACTGCTAACAACAAAGATTATAGATAGCAGTGATACAACACTGGCTTTGTTTACAACCTGTCACTGAGGTCAGGTTGTAAACATTATAATATCTAAGCAATGGCACGTACTGGCAATAAAAACATGATATGATCCTACGGCGGCGGCGACGATGGGACGGTATGCAAATTGGATGGGATTAATCAAGTCGGGACATGTGGCTCAGCTGGCGGCAGTTAAAGTTCAGTTGTTGGGAACACGTGCGATTCGGATGCAATTCCCCTATTAGGCCGCGGAGGTGTTACGTCAGGGTCGCATCGAAGCATGAAAGGGTCCGGACCATCATCTCCTCGAGCGCCCCCACTGAACCCACCAAGGGGCGAAGCATTCCAGTGCTGGTCGACATGACATGAACGACGGATCGACCTCTTGCGGGTCGCCGTCTCCATCGCCCACAATGCTCCGGTTGGAGATAGGAAGCGTAGGCGGTCAATGTGGACGCTTTACACTTGGAATGTAAACACATTAGTCCGAAAACGGTTGCGCTTTAAAGAGTGAGAGGAGTCCCATCCTAACGGACATCCTTTCCCTCCAACCCACCACCCACCAGCAGCTCTCTCGCCCAACTCCAGGGAGGACTATCCGGCGGTACATCCTACAATCGCTCATTCATTTCTCTTACTCTCTACCGCATCTCACAGTGTTGAGTGATCTTGCCTGCGTTTCGTCGCAAAAAACATCTCTCTCTGTGCTCAGTCATTCATTGCAACCTCACTGTCGCTACTATCCGATTTCGGACCCTATCTGCAAAACCACACAGTCACGCTCTTTCGCACCGGTCTATCCTCTACTACCATACGACGGAACATTCACCATGCCTCGCATCCCTGTCAGAACCGAGCCATACACCTCGCCGGCCCGCCAGCAGCGGCACTACAAGAACAAACGCGATCAGATGCTGCGCACTCTAGGGAAAGCATCCTATATCAATGGATCTCACTTTGCGATTCTGCTCGTCAGCGCCAAAGGCGAGGTGGAGACCTTTGCGAGTGAACTCCTAAAACCATGCCTCAGCTCGTGGTTCAACGGCAATGTCGTGGAGGAGGCCAGGAACCTAGCAACGCGTGCGCGCACGATGCAGCAGCAGCAAGCCCAGATTGAGAAGCAGGCAGAAACCTCACCGGCGTCTTCCCTCCCCATCCTGACTTTCCCTCCTGTTGAAGAGGAAGGCGACATGACTCTCGAAGACTTGCCGGAGTCACCATCCCCTTCCCGTGATGGCTCTCCCTTCTCTCTCAACGGACAGGCCAACAACCTTCTTCGACCCATGCTACCAAGTCGTTCTCAGTCTCTCCGCGTCGCGCCCAAGCTCGCTGCCCTGGACATGGACGCCGCCAACATGTTGAAATACCGGTCGAACTCCGCTTCCTACGCACCCTCGCCTACTTCAAGTGTTCCCACTGTCTCTCCAAACCCTGTCGGCCCCGGCATGCAGACTCTTATTATCCCCATGAACCAGCTTGATGCCTGGTATACAGACAAAATGCACGCTCTTCAACAGACCACCTGCAAGTTGGTTGCCAAGTGTTGGATTAAAGTGATCGAACCGAAGAAACAGACCAAGCATCCCTATAACCTGGGCGAGGAGGGCAAACCTATCTGGTGGCCCAAGGGACTTCAGCATCGCGAGCCGGATCACCTTCTCAAGCCTGGTATGTGATTTCATCTGACCACAGCGAAGTGGTACGCTAAATATATGCGCATATATGTAGAGCGGACTCAGTTGCTGCTATCAATCCTTCGTTCCCCGCTCATCTTGGTCTCTCGCCTCGAGCTCAGCACCGCCGAGCAGAATCATCTCATCCCTCCTGAGCGCATTGTCATCCTCAGGGAGCTGTACAAAGTCGCCCGCGAGGATGAGAAGCGTCGTCGGGGCGAGGTCCCTGCTGATCAAGACATCGTCGTCCAGGTCCCGGCACCTCCTCCCCACACTGGTCCTCGTATGCCTTGGCCTGGTGATGAGAACTACAGCGCCGAGATGAACTTCAATGGCAAGCGCCCGCGGCTGTCTGATCCAGAGAACGACGGTCAGCCTTGGCCGTATAATATGCCGACAGAGGTTGGACCACTTGGCGAGCGTATCAACGGCGTGCCTTCTCCAGCACTCAGCGGACAGCTCAATCAATGCATGTCTGGTCTCGGTCAACCGATTGAGATGGTTCATCCTGGCGAGGGTCCCTTCTTGTATGCACCTCCCCCTTGGCCCAACACAAACCCTACTCTCCAGCTTCCTCCCGGCGACTTCTACTTCCACGCATCGCCTGCCAGCGACATCTCTCGTCCTGTTTCAGCTCACACCTTCGAGTCGGGCCCGTCTCGCCCTCTCACTGCCAATACCTCCCTCGAGTCTGACGTCTCGGATGACCGCATGCAGTTCCCGAACGCATTGGGCAACAGTCTCACCGTTCCTCATCTCCTGCACCGTTCTCACTCTTTCCCTGGTAGCGCCCATCCCCAAATTGACATGAACTTTGGCGGCGCCTCTCCTTTGGCTTATTCCCAGCAAGCACCCACTTTTGCTTTGAACGACAACATGACCGCCCCTTCCTCTCAGGCCGAGCCTCCCAATCCGTTCGGCTTTGCGCCCAGCAATCAGCCCCGTAACCAATTTAACTTCAACATGCACGATGCTCCTTTTCAGGATTCGAGCGCCTCCTTCGAGGCGCCCAACCCCTCTTCGTCTTTGACAGCTTCTCCAGATAGCTGGACTTCACCCCAAGAGGAGCGCAGCCAAAACAGAATCCAGATCATGCCTATGGCTCTTCACCTCGATCCCACCCACGCCTCCGCTAAGGATTCCCCTTCTATGGGCATGATGCAGTGGCTCAACGACTCGGTCCATGGCACTCCTGCAGTCGACAGTCTCGCTTCTTCGGTTGCGCTACAGCACACTGAGGTTGCTTAGAGCGATTATTTTCTTGTGATTATGATTTTGCTTTCCCTTTTTCACGCTTACCTCATCATTGCGTTACCCCCTTCAAGTGTATTTAAAACAATCATGGTCGCCGGCGCCGCACGCTTCTTTGAATAACCCACTTTATGCTTCTGTTTATGGTACAGCTAATTCGTCCCTGCATGTTTTGTATACCCAGATAAACTAGCTACAGCGCGACTGGAGGTCGCTATACGCCCTCACTGTATCGCACGAAAATAAATGCAATGCCTGTTCTGTTTCTGATTCACGGAGCCCTCAGTTGCACGCCGCGCAGTCATGAAGAACAATACCCGGCCTCCCGAATATGTTCCTCATGACGTTCGGTTCCAAATTATCAGCAATTGTTTTCATATGACACCGCTATTTATATAGTACAGACTGAAACATACTAATTACAAGAACATCTGAAGGGCGTGTCTATCATACGTGTTCCTCTTGTCGCTCAATTCAGCAAGGTCCGGGTAGAACGGGACCATTGAGTCTTGAGCCCCGAGGTACAGGGCATTATAGACCCGCCAATATACTTCACGCACCTTCCTAGCGGGATGGAACAGACCCTGCAGCGTGTAGCTAAGTAAAATGCCTGGACCCAGGGAGACCCTCATTGCCTCGATCGCATCCATAACTGCGCCGATAACGTGCGGTGAAGTCTCGAAACAATTGGGCCATACAAGGTTCATCAAGTGCATCATCGAGTCTTCACAACCTAGGCCAGCGACACCAAGTGCGAGATGCTTGACGATTGTGCTCGCAGTTTGACGATGGACGAGATCACGATCCGTCAGAGCATCTTCCAGCATGGTGACCACTGAGTCAACGTAGAACGCGGATTGAGGTCCGACGTATTCGAAGACAAATGCCAGTGCCTTCAAACATCCGGTGCGGACATTCAGTTCTGCGGTGCGGTACTCGTTTAGGATAGCGGGGATGCAGGTGAACGGCCCACAAGTTTCAGCGACGATGGCGATGGCGACGGTGCTGCACACGCGGCTTTGACGTTCCTGTACCCGCAAATTGGTAAGCAGGACTTGGAGCACATCCTGCGGACCCAGAGACTTGGCGATATAGCCGAACGAGTTGACAGCCGCACGCCGAATACCTTTCTTGTGTGCCTTGAGGAGGTCAAGCAACTCGAAGCAGATACGCATCCACTCTCGAGCAGGTACGAACTCGGCACCGCGATCGGCAATACGGCCGATCAAGTTGATAGATGCCTCTTGCACTTTCTCGTGTCGATTGCGGAGAATGGGCGTCATACGAGGTAAGAGATCCTTGACGGGAGGGTTCATATGTGTCATACCAACCACGTTGGCGATAGCACCCTCCGCAGCGATAATAGAACCGAGGGTATCGGGGTATTCTTCGCCAAGTTGCTCGAACAAGACGAGTCCAAGCTTGCTAAGCAGAGCGTCTTCACCACACTGTTTGATGACAACAGCCAATCGAGTGGTCAAATCCGCAGCTTGCTGCCTGACTTTAGCACTCTTGTTATTCAGCCGCCAGAGAACGGTTGATACGATCTGCGTGAGGTACTTCTTGACGCGTACACCAAGCGCGTTGACGACGGTGCCGAAACCATCGAGCATAATCTGATCTTCGCTTGTCTGTTCTTGGAAGGCATAGATGATGCCATCGATAAGTTTCTCCTCTAGCTTCTCGTCGATGTCGGACGCGCCAAGCTTTGCAACCACTTGGGTAATGGTCTCCATGACCATCTTTCGGTACGGTTCAGAGTCATCCTTGAGGTCGTTGACAATCCGCCCGACGATCTCAGCCACACCCGCCTTCTGCGCCAGCTCTACGGTAGTCTCCACAACCTGCTTGAAATTACGTTTATCAAGGGCCATGCGACGGACCCAGAACGCCCTGAAAAATTCGGGCAGAATATCATGCTTGATGTATGCGGGAGTAACACCCTCCGTTGCTGCGCATTGTTTCACAACCTTGAGGACTATCTTCTTCATCTCCTCGTCCGAGCTCTGGAACTCGCGGATGAGAATGACGGTGACTTCTTTAGTATAGTATGACGCATATTCGGGATCCATGAGCGGGATGATAAACCCAATCGCCTTGAGGAAGGCAGCGAGGCCCTTACCACGGTGCTGACGAATACCAATCCACAGCGGCTTGAGCACGTTGTCGAACGATTCGATACCGTAAGGTGCTGCAGCCTCGGCGAGCGCCGCAAGCGCGAGCGCTGTCATAGTGCGTACCTTTTGCTGGTCATCTTCCAAGCCGTGAGCGACACAGTCGACCAGGTTGCGCAGGTGGGGCAAGACGGCACAACCCATCATTATAGCAATTTGCTGGACGATGCGGATACCGGTGTGTCTAGCCTGCCAAGACTTCTTGCTCCGGCAGACAGCGCGGAGGAAGGGAAGCAGCGAAGGGATGCCAAGGGCGGAGGCGACGACGGAGAAGGCACGCGCAGTTGTGTTCCGTACGTATTCGTCAACATGATCGATATCTGGACGCATGGTAGAGATCATGTGTGCCAGACCAGCGGCCTTGGACAGGTTGGAAATGATCTCCCGACCTTCGACACGGGCATAATAGTCTTCATCAATGAGCAGGGGCTCAATAACCACAAGAATCTTATGCACGTATGGCCGCACGAGATCGTCGAGCTTGTACAGGACACGATCGATGACCTTGACGAGCAAGTGACGTTCCTGATCCTCCAGCGTGCGTTCCATTAGCAGCGGAAGGATCTTGTCAAACAGTGGGCCGGCACCAAATTCACGTGCCTTGTCAGTGATCTGACGTAAGGCAGTCTTCCGCACGGGTGGTGTGCCGTTCTTGATTTTGAGCAGGAGGCGCATGATCTTGCGCTCTTTGAGCTCCTCAACGGACATCTCAGTTTCATCTTCCTCTTTCAGGATCTTGCTGAAGTATGTCGCATCTTCCGGCTTGAAGAAGGCGAGATTGCCGACGCCAGGTATTTCGGTCGGCGCTTCTGGACCAAGGGCAGCTGCAATCGCCGCAGTGGCTCCAGATCCCTCTTCTTGAATTTGGAACCCGGTCAACGGGTTCGAGATATTCTTCGGTGGGGCTACACGCTCGTATCCCGGTGGAGGTGTCACAATCACGTAACCACTTGGTGGTAGGACGATGTCAAGCTCGTCATCGGACATGTACCGGTTGTTTTTGTCTTCTGACAAAGCATGATAGTTCGGCATGATAATTGGTGCAAGACCACCAGAAGCGGTCATAGGAGGCAAGCCGACAGGTGTTTGATCCCATCGTGAGCGCTTTGGGGCGGCAGCGGCAGCGGGGGCAGTTTCTTCAGCCTTAACAGCGGCCTCTTCTGCAGGCGTCTCGTCCCACCTCGATCGTTTCTTCTTTGGCGGAGCAGCCTCCTCCAACGCCTTTTCAGACCACTCACCAGTGGCAACGGCAGTACTGTCAGACTCGACAGCAGTCTCTTCGTCGTCTTTGATATCCCAACGACGCTTCCGGCGTGTCGAACTCGCCGCAGGTTGGGCTTTAGGCGGTGTCTTGTCGAGGTCCATGCCAAGCCTTGGTGGGGTCTGATCTCCCCTCATGAGTGCCAACAGTTCTGCGGGCGGCGTTTTATCCAAGTCCTGCGCGACTTTTCCTTCTTCCTTTTCCTTCCTCTCCTTCTCTACAATCGCTCTCCTGACGCGTTCTTCTTCCCTCTCAAGCATCTGGAGACGCATAGCATCTTTGTAACTGTCCCCGTCCCCTTCTGCACCTTGGGCAAACGGATCGGCTCGAATAGCCTCGTTTCCACGCTCCATAGCTCGTTCGGCACCTTTACGCTGGTATTCAGAGCCACGCTGGAGGACTTGACGCTTCAATGCTGTCTCCGCAAAGGGGTCGACGTCTTCCTCTTCCGCCATCGCGGCGAACTCTTCGAGCACATCCTTCGGCGCAGTGTAGGACTGCAGCTCTTGCCTCTCAGGAGAAGACATTTTGAACCACTAGCGTCGATGGAGTAAAGACTGACAAAAGCGTGCAATGAAAACAGTGGTGGTGGTGGTATCGGCACAAGGGGTAAGCACGACCAGTAACGATGGAATCCGAAAGAATAGGATGAGTCCGCTCATGCGCGGGATCAGATGTGTCATCTCTTCGGGGTCTCTCCTGCCTAAGGACCCCTAAAGTAACCGCGTGGGCGGGCCACGGAAGCAGAACTGGACGGGCGGAGGAGAGGGGGCACCTCCGAGTGAGAGCCCTGAAGGCGAGAGAACAACTAGACCGCTGGTCACCCCCGGCCTTTCTTACGCCCATCCCTCACCGCCTGGACGCACATCCCCACAATTGTCAACGTCCTCCCCCTTGCTCTTGAAAGCCATCATCACAGCATCCAGCGTGCGCATAGTGGAACATGAACACTGTGGGCCCTGCCCGCACGCCAGCCATGTCCCAGCATTCGTTTGCCGCACAGGGAGGCAGCACCCTACATACCATCCCCTATGGTGCACCGTCCGCCAGCAAAAGTCACCGGAGCTCTAAACCTGCACCACCGCCACCACAGACTTTCATACATCATGTTGAGGAACTACACCGTACGTGCTGCACCTAGTAATACGTAAATAAACCCTGATGACTGGTTTAATAGTGGAGGAGAGTAAGAAGGACAGAAAGGAGCGGAAGACGCGCGAGGCGGCAGAAAAACTAGTTCGATATGCGCAAGAGCAATGGGACAAGCGAGACGAGTATGCTCGATCCCTCACTGCCTGATAAACGTATGCTGATCGAATGCACCAGGATATTCAACGCTGAGCTTGCCCTACCCGCACAGGGGTATCAGGCACTCCTCACCTACCCTCCTACAAACTCCAATTTTCAACTGGCGATGTACCAGCTTTCCCTCGTCCGTGCGGCTGCGTTGGCGCAGATCGACAAAGACGAGGAATACGCACTAGAATGTGCCGATATTGCGCGCGAGGACGAGCGCAGAGTCATAGAAGAGGAATGGAAGAAGGGAAGAGAGGACGCAAGACAGCGGATGATCGCTGGCCTTGGGGAAGGACGGAGAAAAGCCAAGGAGGAACTCGAAGCGCAGGATATTGCTGGTGCGTGATCCCACTCTCATTGGAATATTAGCTCATCCAACCTCCCAGAACTGGGCGCATTGGAAGCGGGTCAACCGCGTCAAACGCGCAAACTCCGTGGTCAGGCTGGTTCTGGACCGCCTTCACCACCGAGTGAGCCAACCACGGGGAAGGAAACGGTCCCCGTTACGCTCCCGAAGGAGATGAACCATGCGCAAGCGATCCTCGGACTCTCCGGTCCTCCGGAGACGAACGCTCTCTCCCTAACCAGCGGGATCCCGTCAAAGTACACCATGCCTCTGTCCAACGGGCGAGAGAATAAGAAAGCCAAAGGGTCCCAAGCGGGGGCGAACGGCCGCTGGTCCCTCGGGAAAGCGGTGCCCTCGCTGGATAAGAAGAACGAGGGCGAGATCGAGGCAGATATGGCGATGATCCGGAATGGGGGGAAGAAGAGGCGTGTGGTGGCTGAGAAGGACCGGATGGGGAGTACGACGGGTGGAGGGGAGCGGTAGCCTGCGCTGTTGCCGCTCTGCTGTTGGTGCCCACCGCTGTGCGCTCGTGAATGCTGTCGCCGCGAGTAGCGTTCGCAGTGCCAGTGGCTGTATTTCTCTCATCTCCGGTCATGCATACACTGTACTACCTTCCATACTGTACCCCTAATCCAGACTTGTTTGTCTTCTAGACTATCTGGCACATCTCCTTCCTATTATAAGGGCAGGGTGTGCCGCCGTTTGTTTGATCAGTGGAGATACCTCTGTGGACTGAATGAGGTAGGTGACGTCATCGGACCCTGAGGTTTCCCACCAACAACCCTCCTGGCCAACACCAAAATGAGGCATAGAACGCAGAACGCTGGACACGATGAGAGGTGCGACTATCTATATCTCATTGTCTTCCTAACACAACCCAAAACCCCAGTCCAACCCAAAGAATTTCTACTCCATATCCTTCCAGCTCTTCTCCCTCTCCTCTTCCACCAGCTTCTCCCTATCCGGCGCCCAAGCCTTAGCCGAAAAGTTAAACGGCTCGTTAACCATCCTAAGCGCCAGCCCGCGCCCGCCATAATTATACCCATGGAAAGTTTGGACCGCTGCTTGCGCCTCGTCGGGGGTTGAGAACTGTACGATGCCCATGTTCCGGATGCGTTCTGTGCGGAGGATCTCGACGCCGACGACTTGCGCACCGGTGGAAGTGAACAGGTCGACGAGGTCTTCCTCGTCTGTCTCGTTCGGGAACTAGGGTTTGGAATCAGGATCAACGGATCAACGAATTAGGGAAGGGAGGGGCACATACGAATTTGACAACGATCTGCGTTTTAGCGCCCGTGTGGAGAGCGGTGCGGTGCCGGAAGAGCTCAGGTGCGGCACGCGGGCCCGTAGGAGCTTTCCAAATGTTCTTCTCTTGTTCTACAGGGGGAGGGATAGCGCTGTCGGGGGAAGGAGTGGCACTGGATGAGCTATCGGGAGATGGGGTGGTCACCGGGCTCGGAGGGTAGGTGTAGTTGTACGGGTAGGGGACTTGGTACGGGGGATAGCCCTGAGGTGGGTGGGACGGCCAGCCCTGGGGCGGCGCGGGGTAGGCATTCTGCGGTGGAGTGCCTGGAGGAGGGGTGCCGGCGGGGGAGGGCCAGCCTTGCCCGAGTGAGGATGGGGGTGGGGGGTAGGCGTAAGGGTAAGGGTAGGGGTAGTTGCTCCAGGTGTTTGGCAGGGGTTGCGCTTGGCCTGGAGAGTGTTGCTGCTCCTGCTGAGGTTGTTGGGGGAGTTGCTGAACTTGGCCTGGGGGGAACCGTCCAGGAGCGGAGAACGTTGCCTGGCCCGGCTGGGCAAACCCATAAGGCTGGCGTGGTTGACCAACCTGACCCGCTTGAGACGTAACCGGGCCTCCCCAAGCCGGTGCAGGAGCCGATCCATCCCCTTTGTTAGGTCTTAATGACCTCCGCGCAGCATCGTTTAGCAAGCTAACATCCACATCCCGCGGTCGGTCTTCCCACGGTAGAACGACGAGGGCGCCGATGCTGCTCTTCCGTGCGGCATCAGCGAAGTGGTTCATCGCCCGCTGGGCGTGGGCGGCGCTTTGGAGCTGAAGAGTCCCCCAGATGGGTTCGGTCGCAGAAGCAACGCGTTTGGAGGAGACGTTGCAGTGGTTTACTGGTCCGAAGGGCTTGAAGACGTCTTTGAGGTCTTGCCAGCTGAAGGAGGGGGGAACCTGGGGATGTACATGAGCATCGGGCGTATCGTACGCAAGATGGAAGAGGGGGACGCACATTCCCAATATATAGCTGATAAGGCTGGGTTCCGAATCCCATGTCAGATTGATCCTGCCATTCCGTCTCGTTCATTTTCCTGTCCCGTTCACCCACAACAAGGTCGTGACCTACCGGGCGGACAAACACGCTCCTACCATCAAAGACCTGCATGGAGATGCTGGCGATGGCCTTTTCTGCCATCTCCTGGCCTTCAAATTCCACAACCCTGCGTAGTATAAGCATGCGAGCTATGTGTGTGTAGGAGGGGGAACTCACGCGCAACCTTTAGATTCGCCTTCTGGAGTGGTGAGGATCTCCGCATGCGTTACAGGCCCGGCCCGAGTCTCCATAAACTCCTTGACCTTGTCCATCGTCGCCGTGTACGGGAGGTTGAGAACAAACACGCGTCTGTTCTTGGAGCTCGTTTCCGCTGCTGCCAGCGACTGGGCGGGGGAGACGTTACCCATGAACCGGGCTCTATTGAGGATGTCGGGCACGCCGGGGAGGGCGGTTGGGGGGTCGTGTAGACATGCATAGGTGGGAGGGGTATAGAGCGAGGCGTGTGGTCGTGTGGGTGGGGCACGGGGGCGGGTAGGGAGAAGGGATGAGGGGAGCAGGAGTGGGGAGGGGATGATCAGACCGAGGGAGGTTGACAGTTTGGTCCGAGGAGCGAAGGGCGCCGATCGAGGAGAGAGCATAAATCCACCAGGGGAGTCCAGGCGATCAGAGACAGGAGAGAGAAAAGCAGGCATCTTTGGTCAGTTAATCTTCCAGCAAAAAGGGGGATAAACCAGCACGCACGATGGTCTGTGTATGAGCAGCGATTTATGTATCGCTGGGATACGCCGTGTAAGACGCACAGCGGATATGAGAGAGTGCATTGCTGGTGCGGTTTTGGAGGGAAAGAAGGGAGCGGTTCGGTCGCGTATGGGTGGGTGTACCGTGTTGAACAGGTTGCGACTGGAAGGGTACCGCAAGAGTACCGACACGGGGAGCACGCAAAACAGAAGAGAGGAGACCAGGAAGGTTGCTGTGCGGTCCTTAATATCTCCAATGACCGTTGATCGAGCTCAAAGATATAGGGGAGAGAAGAGAAGGGCGACTGACAACCTCAGATCCACGAAAAACGATTAAGTTGTTGGTGAATATTTCAGTGAATTTCAAGTGGCTGTGCTCGAGTGGCGTAAATAATCGATTTCCTTTTATGGCACGGCGATTCTTTCCGTTGTCCTCTGTCATTCAAGGATGACCACCATGTCCACTCAGCGGCGAGTCTACACACTCCTCACACCCCATATCCCTCGATGTGCCCTCCCTTGCCTCCCACAGCACCGAACCTACGCCACCCCCGCCTCACCCCCCTACACCCACCCAAAAGCAAGCCGCATCTTCCCCGAGCGCAAAGCCTTTTCCCACCGACACATCTCCCACTTGCTGGACACATCCCCCCTCCTCCTCCTGCTAGGGCACGAGAACCTCCCTGCCTCGCTATTCGAGCGTCTGCGGCGAGATCTCGCCAAAGCCGTCAACCCGCCCCCCAAAGGCAGCACCAGGTTGATACCGGATGACCCTAATTCGCCCCTCTGGAAAACCCGCAACCCCGAACCGAAGGTACACGTTATCCGCCCCTCGATCCTAGCTGCTATCCTACGCACCCGAGCTCCGCACATGTATCATGTTCGCGAAGTGCTCAAAGGTCCCGTAGCCGCGCTCGCCTACCCCGTCCTTGATCCCCCGGCACTGGCAAAACTCCTCCGAGTTCTGGACCGAGCCGTACCCAAGTCCTCGGAGGAGAAGAGGAAACCTCGGCTACAGATCCTTGCTGCGTTAGTAGAGGGGCAAGTGATGTCGGAGCCTGTTCTGAGGGAGACGGCCAAGCTACCGACGCTCGAGACGCTCAGAGCACAGATTGTCGGGTTACTCAGTGCGCCGGCGGCGCAGACTGCGGGAGTGCTGGATGCCGCCAGAGGAGGGAGGACGGTGGGGTTGTTGGAGAGTTACAGGAAGGGGCTGGAGGAGGGGGAGGCGGCTCCGTGAGGGTATAATGGGAATATAACATTGTATATGCGCATGCGCATTAGTCTATCAGGACATCGGGGAAATTATAAACCATCTAACCCGAGCACATACTTCAGCACCCTTAGCGCGACTTCAGGCTGGTCCTGAGGTACCATATCTACCTCGGTTCGGTTCAGTCAGCTTGCCCCTCCACTGGACCGCAAAAGCGACTCACGACCCGCATCGTACACTTCGACATACGTCAGTCCTCTCTCCTCGTGCCACAAGCCCTTCTTCTCCCTTCCCAGGTAAAGAGGCGTATGAGGTTCTTCCTGGAATCCTTGCTCCCCGCCCCAGGTCAGGTTCTGTATAGTGAGCCTATCCCCTTCCGCTAGGAGCAGCGCGTCCAGCACCCCGTGCCAGAGGGTGACCCCACCAGGGAGTCGGTCAACCAGTTCAGGCAGGAGGGTTTCAGAGTAAACCGCGGACTCGTCTTTCCCGGACTTGTAAACGGAGTGGGAGGTGCATTCGGACCATGAGGAAGGGGGCAGGTGGAGGAGGGACTGGACGTCTGAGCGCTGGGAAGGGCTTAGGAAGTCACACAGGAGAAGGGAGAAGAGCGAACGCTGAAGTACGTGTCTGGTGCAAGTTAGGAGACAGTAGTATGCAGAGGGATAAGCGTACCTAGCGGGTTCTCCTTCAGGCATCCTTGCCCGACTTTTTCCTCCTTAAAGCAGAGATTCGCTTCCCTACCTAAGTACCATCAGTCCCACCCCAGCCTAAAGTCCCAATACTCACACCACTGCTTAAACAGGTCCGTAAGATCACATTCATAAGGCGTATAATCCACATTGTTCGGGAGCGTCAGTTTCCCCGCTGGGGGATACCTAATCTGAGCAAGGAGAGCGTCGTACCCGCAGGAAGCGCGGCGCTGCTCGAGCTCGAGTATCTGGGCCGTGGTGAGGTTCTAAAATTGGTGAGTAGTGTATGACCTGAAGGAAGGAACGGGGCGTACAAGCGTCGCTTGATGCAGTCGGGCGAATGCAGGTGTGGGCGCGTGTTGCATCACGATCCTAGAAAATGCACGCCGTCAACAGCGGCCAGTGCCCGAATGCGTTGCTTACCCGCTCGAATAACATCCGTCGTTCATGAGCAGCGCGTGGACGGAGATCGCTTGCCTGGCTTGCTCTTCTTGGGAAGCGTGAAGGATACGATGGGCAATGAAGGGGATGTAGTAGCCTGCGTAGGACTCTCCCGCGAAGATAAGCGGTTTAGAGAGCAGTTCCGGAAAAATCGTATCTTCAATTCGGTCAATACGGGCAAGAGGAGGATGTGACTCTGAGCGTACAGAACTGTTGTCTGCAAGGGGTCAGCGAGTCCCCGTTTGGAGATAGAACAACTCACAGGAAGCCGTAGAACTGTTCGGCGATGTCTTCCTCGTTTCGTACGCTAGCAGGACCAGCACTGAACCCAGTTCCAATAGGCTGCCGCACGTGAGCTAATATCGACCCCACACAATGATAAAGGCACAGACCTGATCAATATATAGCATATTCGTGGCGGTCGTCCATCCTTCTGGATTATACTCAGGCTTGTCCATCCCGGGCAAGAACATGATCGGCCCATTTTCCTGCAAGAACCCCATAAGGCTCGAGCATCCTACATATTATCAGATCCCATCTAAAGAAGCCAGAAGGTAAGGAATACCAGGTCCGCCGTTGAGCCAGATTGTGAGATGTTTGCTACCTTCTGGCGCGGAAGTGGGCCAGTACCAGAAGAACAGCTTCCTTGCCTCTCCTTCCTCTGCGCTGATAGGCAAGAGTCCGGCATACGACTCCTGGAGGTCGAAGTCTACCAACGGCAGGGCGGAGGAATTGACCAGGAATGCTCGTGCCGCTGGGTCGGAAAAAGGTGCCAAGCGGAGGACGGCGACTTCGTCTGGAAACCCTGCGGGGGAAGTGAACCATGAGAAGAAGGGCCAGCTGAAGGGACCCGTATCGAGGATGCTGGATGGAGCGGCCAGGATAGGGATGCAGAGCAGTAGAAGTTCTAAACTGGCGAGAAGTGTCATAGTCAGCAGTTCGAAGGAGAGCAGATGTCGTTGCTGGGCCAAGCGCGTATGACATGAAGGGATTGCCCACAGTCATATTCACCAGATGTAATTCTGATATAACCCGTCGATAGACCATGAGCAGACATAGTAATGAGCAATCAAGAATGAAAGGCGCGCGAGAACAACGTTCGAGTCCCGTGCGCGATTTGGCGCAACGAAGGACCGTCACTAAGCGCCCACGGAAGCAAGCGCCGGCATAATGGAGTATGTAATGTTGTACATTGTTCAAGGCTGTCTATGGATCATGACAATGAGGTGGCTATCACATACATACGGCTACAATAAGGATAGATCGAGGCGACCAAGGAGATGTGACGCAAATGGCAACAAGAGGGGGAGAGGAAAGTAGCCGATAGTCAAATCGGAGGTCATGAGCATAGATACAGTCCTGAGCAGAGGAGACGCAAGGAAACAAGAACAACGTACCCACATGTGTATGTGATATCGCAAGGCAGGAGAAAAAGGCAGCGCGAGACGCGAAGGAAGAATGGTAGACAAGGGTATATATGTACGAAAGCGACCTTGACCCAAAAGCGAAGGAGAAAACTACCAGTTGTCGAACCCCGGGCTGTCCCAACCAGACCTGCTGCCTGATCCACGCACGGGGCTCTCAAACAGGCCGAGCTTTGTACCACTCGATATGAACATTTGCAGGTCCTCGTTCGCCTGGGTCGCGGGGTCGGACATGTCCCACTTTTGGGCGAGGGCGCGACCAAGCGGAGTGCCGAAGAGTGATGATCCACCTGGTGAGCCGAAAACACCCCGAGAAGGTGTTGAGTTGAGGGCGGCAAATCGCGAGGGACTTGGGAAGATGCCGGAGGCAGAAACGCTGCGACCATGGGAGCCACCAATGCGGGACGGCGTTAACAACTGCAGTTCGTCGTACGCCATCAACTTCCTAGCTGGCGGGGTGGAGAGGGCCTCCTGCAAACCAGGTATGGTAGGCAGGCGACGGTCCGACTTTGAAGGGTTCGAGATGATTTCGGACACCTTGGAAGGTGGCGTACGCGGTCGCTTGATCTCTGGACGCTTTGGTGTCGCTGGCGGACCCATGTTTGTTATTGTTGATGTCTTGGGCAGTAAGGGTAGAGGGATTGATCCAGAGTTCGGTGAGATCTCCTTGAATGCAGACTGGGTTAGCAACGTGAAGGGCGACATTCCGTGCTCGTCCGTCCTTCCATCCAGATGCTCAAACTTCGGCTGCAAAGGTATTCTTTCTCGTTTATAATCTCTGCCCTTGATCGGTTTTGGTGAGAGCTCGAAGCTCGGAGCCAAGGCGGCAAGTTTTGAAGGCACGCTGTATCCAGGCGGGAGTATTGAGCCGGTATGAAGTGCGCCCATAGGGGAGGAAGAAGGTGGACTCGATACGGTGGGAGTCAGACCGGGCATGTTCGGGAACTGCTGGGACAGAGGCGGGAGGGAGGAGACGGGGCGAACTGGGGTGTGATGCTGGGCAGGTGCTTGGGCTCTAGGTACATGTGTTGGAGGTGCGGGCATATCATAGGCGTCCGGAACAGCCCACACGATAGGCGGTTCCTGCTTGATCGCGCGATCGACTGGACGCCTGGGAGGTGGCGCTGTTGACTCTTCCTCGGAATCGTCATACTCAGGAGGAGCCTTACGCTTGCGGCTCTGATCGCTTTCGCTGCTGTTACGCTGTGTGACGGAAGTACTGGGGGCCCGTGCGGCAGAGCCTTTCTTGCGGAAACCACCACCGGCGAAGCATTCTTCGTCACCTGGACGGATGCCCCACCAGCAGCCTTTCCCTTTTTCACCCTCTTCGCGCTTGATCTTAACGAAACATCTGGGGAAGGCGATTAGATGGGTCGACGGTAAGCATCGACTGGTACTCACTCATTTAAGCTGAGGTTGTGCCTGATCGAATTTTGCCAGCCAGCCTCGCTTCGCTTGTAGAAAGGATAAGCGGTACTGATCCAGTTATATATCTGGCTCAAGCTCGCGCGGTTACTGGGAGCAGCGGTGATCGCTTGTCCAATCAAGGCGGCATACGACCATGCGGGCTTGGCCGTAGACCTCGGTCCTGAAGGTATCGGAAACGGCGCAGGAGTGACTTGGTCTGCATGGTAGGGGGAGGAAGTAGGAGGGATGGACTTGATGTTCTTTTGCGGGGTCACCGTTGCTGCCATGTGCGAAGCGTATGCACTGGCGGGTGCATAGAGGCTTGCCATATCTTGTTGTGAAGCGTACTGATATGGGTACTGTAGCTGATGGTGTTGGTTGGGAAGGCTGGCATACGACATCGCAGGGGAAGGAGACGGCGAATCTTGTTCTAGCGAATGCGGGTATTCATCGTCATCCTCGTGCACAGGTAAGCCAATGCCAGGCCTGAGAAGAGCAGAGGAGCGAGCCGCAGCTTCGCGCCGCTCTTTCTCCTCCATGAACTGTTCCATCGTAGGGACGGGCCGTTGATACGCGGCAGAGTCCGACATGGTTCGCTTGAAGGCGTGCTGAGCGTTGGACGGCATAAGTGGTTGAGTAAAGAAATCCATCGCATACGTGGGAGGTTCGACCTTGATAGCAAAATTAGCCATAGCGTATGCCGGCGCATATTGGGGCTGCTGTGTGAACTGGAGGGGCGGGACAGCTTCATCAAATCTACGTCTCTTCTCCTTCCTGCGATCTCGTTCCCTCTGCGAAAGATGTTCCGCCGCGTCGCTTAGGGATATACGAAGTTTACCGAAGCCAGAGCTGTCTGAGGCAGGCGACGGGATAACAGGGGTCGCTGTGCTGGACGCGTTTTCAAACTCGTGGGTCATGGAAGTACGGGAGGGTTCGCGCTTGATCGGTGCTACGGGAGGTTTGGTGGGTTTGGTAGGTGCTGGTGCTGGTGCAAGGGCTTCGCTGGGGACGGACATGGAACGGGTGAGGGACTGGGCGACCGCGACGGCACGGAGTGATGAACCACCCTGAGCTGAGCAGAACATGGTGACGAAGGACTTTGTCTTCTCGTACTGTTCTGCTGTGAACATCTTGCGCACTTCGGCGAGCGCATCGTCTGTCAATGCGGGCATGGGTCCCCCATTGGGAGCAGGCGCAGCCGGCGGGCATATAGGGGCTTCGGTGGCCATCCTGCGCGACGAGGACGCGTCAATGACGGCCCCAACGCGTATGAGGCCATGTACTCACTGAGTCGGTGTACAGCTACCTGGGCAGGGTTAGGGCTATTTCCCAAGGTTGTTGCTATGCTCCTCTGGAGGATTACGAGACGCGGCAGTGGGAAATTGCAATGTTCGACGCGTTGTTGCTATGAGATGGGAGTGTGGGCAGATGGAGGTACGAAAACAAGCATTCGCCTTGCCGTTGAGCAGGGTAATGTTAATGTATCCTTTGCGCTGGACAAGAATGGACACTGGCACGTATGCACACGCTGTAGGGAGGGGGGGAGGTCGAGGAGGGGGAGAAAAATGACGGGTAAGGTCCAATCAGACGTGTCCCTACTGAAGGATCTGCACAGACCTGACAAGGCACATTACACGGGTCCTAATTCAACTCTTTGCAAAGGAGCAATGAACGAGAATGCCTCCGGTAGCGGAAGCATACCGAACACGCGTGAGGCTACAGCGTCATGTGACAAAAACAACAGAGCGCGACTGAGGGGCGTGACTAGAGTTTGCTCCCGCTTTGCGGAATCGCCGCATTGAACTTTATCCGTCATCTGCTGTTCGCATTCCGCCAGGTGTTTGGATACAATGATTGTTTTTGTGTAGGAATGGAGGGATGAAGCACCACGGGATTGCGTGGCAAGCAAACATCAATCATTGTTATTTGTTCAGGTACGCCAGCATTATGTCAAATCCAGTCTCGCCGGCGCCGGTGTCTGGGTTACAACAAGGGTCGCGGTTCAAGTGGAGATCGTCTGTCAAGGGCGGCATGCTGGGCGACGTGTATCGGAGGGGGACCGCTCATCGCAATGGGCCGTAAATCGCGGAGACGTACGGATCAAATCAAAAAACCAGGGGGTGTTGGGAAATACATATGTGCTGTATTCCGAGGACTTAGCGTCATACATTTCTTGAGGGTTACAGGTGGCCGGAAGCGCCAGTGTCCTGAGCGTTCATAAATCCGCTCAACGGGTATACAGTTATTTGGCTCTCTCCCTCGGAGAAATTGGGGACATGAAACGTGCCGATAACGGGTAAACGCGAAAACCACTTGAGGCAGTGAAAACCAGCGCAAGATACTACACTTACCGGGGGAACCCGTTACATACATACATGAGCATACAGATTACTCCTGCGCTGGTGGCGGGGCCGGACCAACAGCAGCCTTCAGTTTATCCTCCAACATCTCCTTGAACCCACCAACGATCTCGCTCTCACGCTTCTCTCTCTCCTCCCTCTGGAGCCTCAGAAGACTGCGTTTCTCCTCTGCACTAATCACCTGATTCTCCTTCCTCATGCGGACCGCGTTCATCCGTTTATGCCTAGAGCCGGACATGACATACCCCGCATGCTCGAAGACGTCAATTTCTCCTGAGGTGAGGCCGATCTCTCCACGCCGCGGGATACGCTCATTAGACTGGACGAAAGCGGCAATGGCAGACCCTTCACCGGCCAGGAGGGCACCGCCGTAATCTCGTTCGTGTAGGGAGTCGTGGATTTGAGGAGCGGGTTGGGGACCGATGTTCCCGTCGTCGTCGTCATCGTGGGAGACCACGTTGATGGCAGGAGGATGGGCAGAGGTAGGAGAGATGACTGCGACGGTAGGGGGCGCGGTGTTCTTGCTCGCGTCAGCCTCGACCCAGACACCTTCATCCTCTTGGTCCAGGTTCTTGTTTAATCTGCGATCTTTCTCCCTATCGGCGTCCCTCTCTTTTGACCTGTCCCTCTCTCTGTCCCTCCTGCGCCGTCTCCTTTCCTCCTCTTCGTCCTCACTGTCTTCCTCCCTTCTTTCCTTCCTCGACCGCTTGTGCTTCGATCTATGTTTTCTTCTGTTCCTCCGTTCTTCCTCTGACTCATCCTCTGACTCAGGCGTCCGATAGCGTTTCCTATGCCTCCTCTCCGGTGTCCTAACAATTAAGTCAATAAATGCATAACAAAACTCTAAAAAAAAAGGGACGTACGGATCCCTCTCCGGCGAACGAGGACTAGGCGGCCAGATGCTAACAGTACTGCGCTCCCTTGTCAGCCTTCTGCTGTCGAGCCAGTCCCCTCCTCCTCCCCTTCTTTCCCCGCTCAGAGGAGGAACATAGTTGTCGTACTCCGGAGATGCACGCCCATGTTCCCTTTGGAAGGCGCGGCGGGAAGCGTACATATCCGGCCCAGTTCCCCTCGGAACAGCACCATTTCCATCCCGCTCTCTATCCCTTCGATCTTCCCTCTCCCACTCACGATATCGTTCTCTTGAATCTCCTCTCCCGCGGCGAGGACTATCCGGAGGCGGGGTGTACATCTTCGCTTCTGATGAGTAGTGCACTGAAATTTCGTTCCTCGGTGACCTAGCAGCGCGGTCTCGTTCGCGATCTGAGTGGTGTGCACCGTTCGATCCGTTCATCTTAGACGTGGTTGCGGTGTCTGCTATCTTGTGTCTTGTTGTGTGGTGAAAGGATGATCGTAGGGAGTGAAGGATGAGCGGAAGTAACCTTATGTTATCCTAAGTCTTCTCAATAATTCTAAGCGAGTTCTTTGCGGATTTATTCTCCGACTTCCTCAGCGTCATCAGCACAAGATCTGCCTCATCTCACAGCTCTGCACCACATCAGGTGACTCAGTCTTACACCGCCCAGCAATCAGCCAGCGCCTCACAGATCACGTGCCTCAGGCTGCTTATATTTTCACACACAACTTTTCCATTCTTTCACAACTCTTTCCTCTACCATCATCATCCATATCACTGAGCGCAACTTACCAAGCCAACTTCATATCCAGCCTGAGCGGCATGGATCCTCCTCCAGCGCCCCCAACAGGTCCCGGCGACCAGCCTCAGCCAGCCAGACGGCGACACCGTCCACGGCCGCATAATAGGGCTAATCATCCTGGCCCAAATCAGAACACCAACCAAGGACATGCTCCGCCTGAGGGCGTAGAGCTGTCGCAGCCTCTATCTCAGCCTGATGGCCCCCCCAGAGCACAGAGACAGAGAGGGCGCGGTCGAGCGGATGGATCCGTTCCTGCGTCCGCTTCTCAAGCGGGAGAGCTGCATACTGCCGTTGCGGGTTTGCAGATCTCTGACGGACCTGCACCAGAAGGGCAAGAAGAAGGTCACAAGCGGAGAAGGAGAAGACCGAAGAAACACGGGCCTGAACAACCGGAGAGCGAGAAGAAGAGGGACGCAAGTACTGGCCCAAGTGCGTCTTCTAATACTGGAGATGTGGACGATACCGTACACGCATCTTCCAGCTCTGTACCGGCACCGAAGAATGACAGACGCAAGAGGTTTGGTGCAGCGTTGACTACGCCGTCCGACCCTGTATCTGCGCCTGCGCCTGCACCTTCCGGAGGCAGCCGCTCACACGCATACCACGCCCCTCCCGCAAATGCTGACCTCACCACTCGCCTAACCCACTCCATCACCCATCCACCATACGCTGACTGCCCAATCTGCTTTTCCGCCCTGCACCCTGCACAACCGATCTGGAGCTGTACACCTTCACCCGGAATTCCTTCCAACTGCTGGACGCCCTTCCACCTGCGCTGCATCCGCGAATGGGCCGGCAAGAGCGTCAAGGAGACCCGAGAGGCGTGGTTAGCGAGAGGAGAAGAGAGGCAAGGAGAATGGCGTTGCCCCGGGTGTCAGACCCGGCGTACGGAAGTGCCACGCGAGTACCGCTGCTTCTGCGGGCGCCTGGCCGGCCCAGGCGCTGGAAGGATGTCTACCCCGCACAGCTGTGGCGAGTCCTGCTCTCGCAAGCGGGAGAAATGCGAGCATCCTTGCCCGCTCCTGTGCCATCCCGGCCCTTGCCCGCCCTGCGTGGTCACCGTCCAACGACCGTGTTATTGCGGGAAAAAGCTACTGGCATGGAGGTGTTCCCACCTCACTGGTGCTCATCCTCCGGAGATGACATGCGCGCAAACGTGTGGCAGGCCATTAAACTGTGGCAAGCATACGTGTGAGAGCGAGTGTCATCCCGGTGATTGTGCGCCGTGCGGGGTGAGAGAAACAGTCCGCTGTTACTGCGGAAAGGAGACGAAGGAGGTTGCTTGCGGAGAGGGAGAGGCGCTGGCATGTGTCGATCTGGAGAAAGGCATGTGGGAGGGGAGGTATGAGTGTTCCCATCCCTGTGGAAGGCCGTTCAAGTGCGGTATCCACACTTGCCAAGAACACTGTCATCCTCCGCCCGCCGTTCCCCTGCCCTGCCCTACGGATCTGGAACTCATCACCACCTGTCCATGCACGCAGACGCCCCTCGCCGACCTTCCCAACGGCAAGCGCGAGAAATGCACCGACCCGATCCCAACGTGTGGCAAGGTATGCTCCAAGCTGCTACAAGGATGTGACCATCTCTGCCCACAGCCGTGCCACCTTGGCCCTTGCCCGCCTTGCGTCGTTCCCCTCTCTCTCTCCTGCCGCTGCGGGGAGACCGTCCGCGTCGTCCCCTGTTCCCAAGCCACTAGCAGCACCAACGCCAACACCGAAATTCTTTGCGACCGCCCGTGTCGCGCACTTCGCCACTGCGGACGGCATATATGCTCCCGTCTCTGCTGTCCCCTGGCGTGGCAAGGTAAAGTCTCCAAGGGGAAGCGCAAGGCTCTCGAGCAAGCCTTACTCGGCAGACCGGAAGACGACCGCGAAGGGTGGCACGACTGCGATATCATCTGCGGCAAACTGCTCACCTGCAGGAAACACAATTGTACCCTCCCTGATCATCGTGGTGCCTGCCCTTCATGCTTGCAGAGCTCCTTCGAAGAGCTTGTATGCCATTGTGGGCGGACGGTACTCATGCCCCCCATCCCATGTGGCACGGTCATCGACTGCCCTTTCCCCTGCTCCCGCGCAGCACCGCCCTGCGGCCACCCGAAAACCCAGCATACATGCCACGAAGAAGGCGAATGCCCGCCCTGTCCCTTCCTCACCACCAAACGCTGCGCCTGCGGGAAGACGCTCGTGCCGAACGTCCGCTGTTCGCAGGAAAATGTCGGCTGTGGCACCGTCTGCGGGAAACTGCTGGACTGTGGCTTCCACAGCTGTGAAAAACTCTGTCATTCGGGAGAGTGCGAGCCTTGTTCGCAGGTGTGCGGCAAGCCCCGCAAATTGTGTAAGCATCCTTGTCCGGTCCAATGTCATGCGCCCTCGGCGTGTCCGGAGACCGAACCCTGCCCGGCGCAGATCACCCTCATCTGCGCATGTGGAAGACTAAAACAGCAAGCCCTGTGTGGCGCTTGTACTGGCTCCCCCACCTCACGCGCCAGCACACAACTCAAGTGCGGCCAGGAGTGCGCTGTCGCCAAGCGCAATGCACGCCTTGCTGAAGCACTTGGGATATCTGAAGGCACAAAGTCCAAGTTAGCAGCAACGGACTGGCCTGAACGCCTCGTCACTTTTTTCCGGGAAAATCGCGAGTGGGCAAGCATGGCCGAGCGAAACCTGAACGAGTTTATCCAGGGACCAAAGAAGACCCAGCTCCTGCCGCCGATGGTCTCCGCGCGGCAAAGGTTCATGCACGAGATGGCGAATATCTACAGGCTCGATGTGGACTATGTCGACTCTGGCCCGAATAGGAGCGCTCAACTTGTACGGAGGGTCGATTCACGAATCCCTACGCCTATGATTTCCGAGGTCGCTACGCCGCCAGCACCACCTGTGAGACCAGCAGGTGCTGGCCTTGTCAGTTTGAACAGGCTCAGGCCTGCTGCTTCACCTGCCGTTAGAGGCTGGGGCGTGTCCAGCCCGAAGCCGACGTCAGCAGCAGCTGTCGTTGCTGCTCCGCCACCTGTAGCTACTACGCCTGTGTCGGCGTGGGGTACCCCATCGTTGCGACCAGCTGTTTCTAACCGCAGTAGCACACCGGCAGCGTCGTCCTCCCATGTTTCCACTCCATCTGTCCCTGCACCGTCCCTCGAACATGTCCGTGATTCTTGGGAGGATGATTAGACTATCCAAAAGTTTTATAAGCATGATGATATCATCACACAATGCGGAGCACATGTAGTATTAGAACCTTTACAGTAATACAGTGGTTGAAGGGTGTCATGGACGATAAACTACATGCATTTTAGCGAGATTTACGATGAGGATTTGGTGACATACCAGATTCTGAAACCAGTGCGCCGTCATCTATGCTGTCGGTCACAAAGTCGGCTGTGACTTGTTGACGATACTTGTTTCCAGTCTGAGTGATGCTTCGGAGCTCTGATATTCTCGTCTTGTCACGTTTGTCGACGATAATGTGCGTGATTCTCGTGTCATGGATGTCATCCGTGATTTTCCCCCCATACTCTAAGATGAGAGGCCGCAAAGAATCAAATCTAGATTCGAGTGTCAGCTTCTCTGCGCAACGTTCATAGATGGCACTATTGTTACTTTGCCACAATGCTGCTCTTCACCGTCTCAGGAGAAGTCAGTGCGTTGTTCTGAGCGTTTGCAGGCGAGTCGAGATAGAAGACCCTAGCCAGAGTTGAGCCCAATTAAAGGCTAATATGGTTTATATTACTCACAAATGACTGAAGATCTTCTCCGTATCGTCCTCAGCTGGTTCGTCCTCGTCCATCGCTTCCTTAAGAGAGCGTTAGCAGGATGAATGAACACAGGAAGAAGGCGAACCTGAGATGTCTGTGCTTTGGTTCCCGTGGCATCTTCGATGATGTGCTCGTCCTTCACAAGCCGTGGGTTGACTTCTTGCGAAGGCTGGGGAGCGCTAATCTGCACTTTACTCTGGGTTGAAGATTTTAGCGGGATTGACAGAGTCGCACGGCATGGAACTCACCACACCACCCACGACTGCTTCATCCAGAGGGGGTCGGGCCGAGTAATCCTCATCGTCCGTCGGCTCGTCAATGTCGTGATCCTCCGGCTCCTGATAATCTGAAATTTCTGTGTCTGACCCAGCATCTTCCGGGTGTTCCTGAACCTCGGACAGACGCTTATGATCTTCGTCTTCATCCTTCTTGATCTCCATTTCGTCGGTCGCCCGCTCGTCGTGGTCTGCCTCCGTCTCCGACTGCTCCGCTGTAAGATAACTGCAGATCACATCAGAACATACTTTTGGCCGGGGTCCACCAAGCTTACTTCTGCCTCGGTAGGACCTCTTCCTGATCGACGCAGTCGACGATATATCTTGGTGTCAAGATGTCAAACCCTTTCTTAACGGCTGCATTCGCCTTCGGGACTATGACATCGTTAGGATTGACAAATGGTGGGCGCAATGTCCTCACATCCGAGCCGACTCGAAATAACGATGAGATCATCGCCCTTAAGGAGCTGCTGGAACTTGCCACCTCCCTCGTGCACAAGCTTCTCCAGCATACTTTTATCATGGTTTTCCATTCCCTCTAATATAACTAGGAGACATTCAGCTGATTTTAGGGAGTCACATGAGATCTCGCACCGAATCGCAGACCATCGAAGAGGTCATTCTTGACTTGAATGTTCTTCACGTTGGTGCCCATGGACGAGGCGGGCAAAACCAACTGCTGTTTCGAGATAAGCACTTAGTTGTGTGAAAGTGTCGTGCTCTATCTCACCTGGTTGACCTTGCGGCGTTTGTTGCGTCTGAGTTCTCTCGGTTAATGTGGCAATTTTCAGCAGAATGAGGTGACTTACGACGGATCCGATGACGCTTCACGCTTTCTTCCACCTGTTCTCATATCATGGATCTCTATATAATCATTTGAGCTGATAATTCTGTAAGATACGGAATGGACGAACCCTTTACAGTCATGACGTCTTCCCAAGTAGCGTCTCTCCGAATAGCTCGACACCGTGGAAACCTCATGGTCCAGTCCATGGCATATTTTTCTGTCAAGATATTAGCTTAGTGCATGCTGATCACCGCGACCACTGCACCCGAAGTTACAATCTCGGCAGCCTTAACCGTGATGACAAATGAACTGATGCTGGTGAGACCACCATTTCTGTGGGTATGTCACACCACTCACTCCTCGGGCCGAATATACACATCGGGTTTATCTTCTGTTCCTCGGTCTGCAAGCTTCACGAAGTCTAGCTCTTCACCTGGTGTATACTCGCGCCAATTCTTCTGTCGGATTTCTTCGAAGTCGGACATGCTCAGACCTGATCCAATTCGAACAAAACTCAGAAAGCTGCGGGCGCGGTCATCGGCATGCTCATTTACAGAGAAAATCACTTGCTGTGGATCGTTCCCTGACATGGTATCATCTCGTACTGCACAGATAAGTGTGGATACGCCACCGCCTCTTTTTCCAGTGCCATAATCCGCACCTGCCTTACGTGAGCACCGAGATCTGGAACCGTAGATGCTTCTTACCAACAACAAGAACGTCGACTGTTTCAGACATTTCGTCCTTCCTCAGTCAATTAACGTAATACCCCATAATGTTGAAATGCCCTTACCACATATTCAGGTTTTACCTTCAACCATGCATCTTCTCTACCTGCCAATACGTAGGGTTTGTCCGGGTTTTTCACCACAAGACCCTCGCCCCTGAATAACAGCAGTCAACTATTTCGTCTGTATACACAGTCGATTACGAACCTGTCATCCATGACTCTTTCAAGCTCGGTTTTCACGTCTTTGGCAGTGCGGCCTCTCGTTTCATAGGCGTATTCCAGCACGTTTGGTACAGGCTGGAATACCTTCCGTAGTGCGTCCTTTCGCTTATGCAGTGGCCATCGATAGATACGCTGGTCATTTAACATGAGGATATCGAACACTTTGACTATAGCGCCGTCAGAGGTATTCAGAGGTGGGGGGAATACGACATTACAACATGGGTGCATCTTCGTAGGGTCATCTGATTTGTTTAGGGCAGCAGGTTTGAGCCAGCCGAAAGGGAGGTAATGCTCTGTAACTGGATCCCAAACCAGCATTTCTCCGTCGAGGATGACGCTGGATGACCTCAGTATGTATTCGCATCTGTGATATTGATTAATGGTAGCTCACTTCTTAACTCGATCATCGAAAGCGTGATCAATGAACGGCGTCAAGGAGCCTGTCCCGACATGTTGGCCATACAAGTACGTATAGTCTTTCCCTTTCCTATGTAATGTGAGAGCTCATCAAGGCATAGGATAAAGGAACACACCGAGAGCAAAAATAGTACTCCTTGCCTCTTTTGTGGAGCTGAATACGCTCTCCGTCTAGCTTCTCCTCGATGATGAACTCCTTTCGACCCATCAGTTTCACAACATCCTGCAGCTCTCTCCTCGGTCGCTTGCAAAGCATGGGCTGAAATGGATGGAAGAGCTGGATCTCTGTATCCTCATTGTTCGCAGTACAATGCAGATCATACAACTTCCAGCAGACCTGCTTCAGGTCCGAGGTGGAGTTGTAAATCTCAAAAGCAGAAGGATGGAAGACTGAGAAGACAGTATTCTCCTTGGTTGCGATTTTGAGATCTGATTGAATGATCAGCACGCGCAGCCGCTCCATCGTTTGGCGAACCTTTCAAGATAATCCTCGCAATCCAAATCTGGTCCTCCGCACTGCATCTCTCAGCAATTCGGCTCATTACGGCAGCCTGTGCTTGACTGATATACATGAGCTCGAGTCAAAGAGAGCGCGAATCACACGTACACCTTCGTGCTAGCCGAGAGATCATCTAGAAGGCTGTTCACTTCGTCAATGGTCAAAGTCGTTTCCGCGGTTACTCGTGACTTGATGCAGTCGTAGAGCACGCTTGGAAAGTCACCAGTTCCTGAACCGGATAGTCTGTTCTACGTGAAGTGTCAGATCTCCTGTGAATGAGCAGAAGATAGAGTGCACCTCTTGACCCGATTCAGTGAAGTTCGGTTTCTTCCAATTCCTTAGCCTTGTCGCCGTGTTGGACTTAGGATCCAGTTCGAGAACCGTGATATATATCTTAGCCATAGCCTGCTCTTTCAATCCATACACTGCACGATCCTTATCACACTGATTCCTGTGATCAGAATCGATGAAGGCTCATAGTTGAAGGTGCCTACCTGCGGAACTAGAAGCCTCATTGCTGGGTACAAATCGTTCCCCACATCTGTGCGCCATTTCTGTCAAGACCATATCCTCAATGACTGCATATGGCGAACCAATTCCCGAACGTACATGAAACCATTTCGACAGGGCATCTCGACGCTTTGGAGGTTTCGCCTTTCCTAAGTCCTTGAACAATGCCGTGAGAAGTGTGAATGGCGGCGATGTTCCGCGATTGAAGACATGGGGCGGTCGCTCAAACTGGAGTGGTTGATGGTTCTCAGGGTATGCAGAAGCCTTGGGAGAGGCTGGTGGAGATGGTGGTACGGACATTATGCAACGAGCAGTGGGTTTGTGAGACGTTGAGGTCTTTATGACTGTGAAGGACAGTCGAAGCATGTCGCGACCCCCATCATTGGTCGACGCGAACAGTCACATGTTGATTTGATCTTTTTGCAGATTCGTAGATGTGTGACATTAGTTAGTATTGATATTCTTAGTCGGCGTTTGCGCTACTACAAGTTCGGCGTGTGACGCGTGCCGGACGCGTGCCTCTTTCCCTGCGGTCCAGCCATTGCTTGCCGGCGCGTCGGTCATGACTGGACGACGACTATGTCGTCGGATGAGAGCGATGATCCCATGCTCCTACGGCCCCATCGACCACGGAGAAAAGAAACAGAAAAGGTTACATCATCAAATGATGAGCCATCCGAACCACCACTCAAACGAAGGCGGCTGAGCAACGATGCCCTGGTCCTGCTCGAGTCGTCCGACGTCGGCGAACAGGAACAGTTAGCAGCTGAAGGTGACGATTATTGGCTCTCGCCGCCGACTACACATGGAGATGATATACTTGAACTGAAGTCAGTATCCTCGTCTGTTCGAGCTTCTACCTTTCGTCCTGTGGACCTTCCGCCCTCTGTTTCAACACGGTCCCTGCACCTTGACCGTCCTTCCCTCCTCGAAACCTCGCAAGCCTCCACAGAGTCATCAGTGAACTCCTTGCCACGAGGCTTTCTCCATTTACACGCGACTCTGTCGTTGTCTCCGAAGGATGACAGTCGGCTTCCTCTCTTCGAGAGTTCTCCTACGTCCTCTCTTCTCACCCCCACTTCCGCCCAATCCTCTCAAGGTTCCATCTTCCGTCGCCTGCAACCTCAATCTCCAATCGCACCGCCTCAGACAATTGCGTCTACTCCTTTCGGAGCTGTCCCGAATCTTGCAGCGTTGGGTCCTGTGCGCGAACTTCGCCCGAGGACCAAAAAGCAACTTGCGCCGTTCACCATAGATCGCGCTGAATACGAGCGCGTTCTTCGCAATGCCAGGGAAGCAATTGTGAGGGATAAGGTTGTAGCAAGGGCAAGCGCAAGGGATGAGAGTCAATACGAGGAGACGCAAGACGCTGGGACTACCCAACAAACTGAGGAGAGTGGAGAGGACTTCATTCCTCGTGCCACTCTGGCCAGAAGACGCCCTCAGTCTCGTTCTCCTGATCCTCCACCGGACGCAGTCCAACGAACGAGCAAAGTAGCACCATATACCGCTCCTTCGCTAAGCGATGAAGAAATATTCGCTCGATTTGGCGGTGTAATCTCTGACGACGACCAACCTCCCGTGCCTCTACCTAAGGCACCCAAGAGACCAACGAGACCAAAACGTGCTCCCCATGCCAGACCATTTCCATTCGAACTAGACATCAATCACTCCGAAGGTGCATCATCTAAAACTGGACGCCATGTGAGTGTTTGCCAGTAATAAAGTGCCGCTTAGCTCAACATATTCTACTAGTCATCCTTGGGCCCACCAAAATCTCATTCGCCTCACCTGTCGGACGGCGATGAAACATCCGAATCACGAATTAACGACTTATCCTCGCACCGGGTGCCCTACATCGACCTTAACTCTCAACACACCACGTCAACTAATGCAAGGAGCCCGATAGCCAGCCGCTCTTCTCTATCTCCCTCTTCCTCTTCCTCCGGCTCCGAAGAGAGTGACGATTCTTCGGGCTCTATCTATCTTATGAATAGAGACTACAAGAAGATGAAGGCGCTGAAACATATGCAGCCCTGGTTCTTGGTGAAGAGGGCTCTGGAGGGAGGAACATCACCTAAGACTCAAAAGCGGACGCGGACAAAATCTCCGTCGGTTGACAGAACTCCTACGCCCGAGCCACTGCCTCCCAGATCCCAGGATGATCTCGATGACTGGGTCCGCTACGATGATGACTACGATAGACGGCCAAATCAAAACGTTCGAACACCCGCAGACACGACTACCCGCCAGCCATCAGTTGTGGAAATATCTGATGACCAAAGTAATGTTTCCTCTTCAAGTAACGACAACGAAGTCGAGTTCGTAGCCGCTGCTCGAACGTCTCCAGGACCGCGCATGGAACGTGATTTAATCGACCGAATGCTGAGTCGTTCGACATACGTTCGTAAAGGACGTGAACCCGAGCGACAGAGAAAACACCGACGCGTGAATCATGCATCGCATAGTCGCCAGACCAAACTACGATTCCCTGTCGTCGATCGGACGTCACATGACAAGGAGAATACTATTCCGGCGAGACCGAGGCAGCTATCTGAGGATATTGACGAGGCTAGACCTTCCCGACGACCCCGTCGACGGTACTTCGGAGGGTCTTTAGAGGATGATGACCTCATATTCGGAAGGACATCACCCATCGACCGCCCCTGGCCCTCGGGTCTTGCAAGAGCCGGAAAGCCCAATCCCTTGTCGGTCGATCCTCCAAAAGCGTCGAGCAACCGTTTTCAGTGGAATCGGTCCACAAATAATGTGATACAGGCCGGACCTTTGCCTAACGTATCTCCCCGATCCCCTGGGATAAATGACAGTATTGGCCCCCCATCAGACTGGGATTTATACACCACTTTCAGCTTGGATTTCGGCATTCGCTGTTTGCCCCCTGGGATCAAGATGCCCTCCACCTCGTTCATTGGCAAAGGTCGACTGTTTGAGCTTATTTCATTGGTCAGCAACCCTGCTGCTGTTTTGGATGCGCTCCCGCGATCGTACTCTGGCTTCGGCCTCATGCTTGAAGCCGACCCGAATTATGAAGATTTCGAGTCAAAGCTCCCCGCAATTTGTGACGCGTTGCATACTTGGATTTCGTCAACTTCTCAGACAGACACAGACGCAGATGCAAGGGATCTGATGCGATACGTTGCTTTGAGTGTGACAAGACTCATTCCGCGACAAACAATAGAGAATGCAGAACAAGCCTGTGACGAGGTGGAGAAGCAGGTCCAACATCTCCTTCGACGTTTTCCAGAACCGCCAACTACACGTGTGTCCCCTGCTCATCTGCACCTACAGTGGTTTGTGGTTGATGTTTGCGCCCGAATGGTGGCAGCTTTGCAAAGCCTCAATCCTGGGGAGACGCCACAAATTCGAAGGCTCTTGGAAGTCATCGAGAGGAGCATAAGCGAACTTATAACAGCTCTCCTTCATCTCGGGATGCACAATGCAATGCAAACTATCAAGCAGTTGCAAGCTGATGGTATCGACGCATTGGATGATCCTCTCGTGGAACTGTGGGTCTGTGTCATCCACCTCACAAAAGCAATGTCCACCCGCTACAGTTCCATACCTTCCTTTAGTCAACAGCTGGAGACTGCTATTGCCCTTCGATACCCTTCTGGCATGAGCGTACATGCATGCGAGCAAATCTGGTACACGACCATGTCAGTTTGTTTGTTATCCCAATTTACATCCTCCGGCATCACTCTCAGGGAACCGCTCCAGGAGACTCATTGGCCCATCGTTCTGAAAGCCCTTGCTTACGCTCCACTTCTACCTCACCAGACTGCGCAGCAATCTCTCAGCAATGTTGCGGCGATCAATCGAGACAAGCACATCTGCATGATTTTGCGACGATGCTGCTTAATGGTTGCTCGATGGGGGTGGGACCTGTCTTCGGCAGAGGGACTCCTGAAGCTCTTCAATGATTTGTTCAAAGCACGTAAGTTCTCGAATCTAGACTTACAGGAAGAACGGAAAGCCGATTTCGCCCCATTTTTGACGAATTTGGACGTGCGTCTTCTCAGCAACCTTGAGCAAACGGACACCGCCTATGGACTATTCCTCAAGCTTTTGGCGGGCACAATCGATGGACTACGATCGAAGGATAACGAAAAGGCCATAATGAAATTGCTGGGGGCACTCATCCCAGTAGGTGTGGTGACCTTCACCAAAGAAAAGCCGCCAACTCGCTTTGAATTGTCACAATTGCACAACCGGTACAGTGCCATTCTCCTCGCGATATATCTGGAGCCCTCGACCGCCACGCGACGCATCGAGTCTGCCCGCCGAATCCTCGACTTCGTCAAAGCTGATCATAATTCCCGTCAAGTATGTCTACGAGCCGTCATGTATTTGGGCATCATGTTGCGGCATCTGAAGTTGCCCCCCATTTCCGCAGTTCAATGGACAAGTGAAATGATGGAAATCATGCTTCAAGAATTCTCTGCTGCGCTGCTCCGGGATAACTCTGTGCCATTGTCAAAAGAGGGGAAAATAATTCGAGATGAGGCCGAAATGATGATCTGCCTGTTGGTCAGGTCGATCACAAAAGTGATCAAGGTTTCTTCACTCGACGCAACGAGGGCAAGCCCAGTCATTTATCCCGATATTGTGTTTCTGCAGAATTGTGGGTTCAACATTATTATTGTTGGTCGTAATTGACTATTCTCTAGCGTGGACATCTAAAATTCTGCGATCGGCATCCTACGTCAAGTCTGTTGTATCAGTAGAGATTCTGCGTTACATTCAAGCGTTTCTTGATGAGCGTCTGCGTGCCCTTCCAACTGGCACTATCCCAGTGAGTCAGACAGAACGCGATGAAGAAAGTCAAGACTATGGGGATGCCGATTATGAATGGGATGATCCGACCTTCATCCAGATGCTGGATATGGCAGACGGTGTCGGGGACGTTTCCTTTACGAGGACAGCAGAGAAGAAAGTGGTAGAGGTGGGTAGCATTTGTCGCGCTTCTACCTGTTGCACCTGCTAACCAATTCCAGACTGTTGAAAACGACCTGTCTCCAGCCGTCTTTCAATTCATCAGCAACATTTTTGCGAATGGGTCTGTTCTTCCCCCCGAAGGCTGGGAGTTGGTAGATGCAGCGGTCGATTGCTGGGCAAGCTGTGGTTATGTCATCATTTACAACAACCTTCGAGTGAGTGTTCGGGCACTACATCTGGATTTTATGTCTGAAATGTTGTTCTAGGACTGGTCCTCTTATGTCAGCGCGTATGGTGTAGAGTCGTGCACTCGCCTTATGAACAAGGCAGACCGCCGAAGGGTGGGGTTGCGATTCATGTATAAGGCCATACTGCTCGACCCCGGTGCTTACAGAGTGAGCTATTGTCTTGCTGTGAGAGCGCTAGAGCTCACATTCACACAAGCGTTGTGAAGAGGAATTCCTGAGCATGTGGTGTCAGACCATCGTCCGTCCTAGACTCACATTAGAACACAAGTACACTGAGGCTCTGCTTCAATGTAAAGAGGCCCGGCATGGACTGCTTCAACCATTATGGACACACGAATTCCCCCATACACAGATGGATGCCGGTGGGCTGGAGGCTGTCAGGATTGATCTCATTGAATGTGGGCAAAACAAATCTGGCCAAAAACATAGAATTGACATTATGTATCTTGCAGTGGTACTCATTCACGCCAGTCGTACTCTGGCTGACCCGTCAGGTGACGCGATCAGCGACAAGCAGAAGAGGATCATCAGCACGGTTCTTAGGGAGTTAGTGCCAGCAATGAAGGACTATTACTGGGTGAGTTCAGTGCCATCGGATCTCTGGTTAGACTGATGGTCGAACTGCTAGGTGTATATGTCCGCCGATGCAGCAGAAACAAACAAGAATTATTACCAACTCTGCCAACGCGTCCTTGCCAGCATGGAGCGCAACATTCCTCAGTTGTTGGTCAATGGCGATCTGACATGGCTCCCTCCACCACAGCAAGGAGACATACATATTGTACAAAGCGCTGGTATTATACATTAAGCTCAGTGCCACATGTTGCAGTTGGTTTCCCAAGGACATTTCACGTGCCCGGTACAAGAAGTGCCGTCCCTTCTCACCACCTCAGGCATTTTCCTGTAAAAATGCATCGACCTTGAACAAGGAGGTAAGACTTCGCTGAAGGAAGCAGCAGGCAGGTGGACGAACCTCATCCAAAGTCTCGTCGCCACCGGTCACTACAAGGTCATCCTCATCCTCCTCATCCTCGTCGTCATCCTGCACCTCATCGATCGCAAATGGTGTCCTCTCAGGTAATGCCGGGATTGTCGGGAGTTGCGGAGGAAGTAGCCCAGGTGTGAGCGGCTCAGACGTGGATGCTGCCAAGGATGTGCTTGAAGCTCCTGAAGTGAGGGAGCCACTAGACATGGACCGATCGCGTATTTGAGGAGATAACAATGATTCACGCGTTTTCGGCTCTTGCAAGGCCATGTCTCTATCAACTTTTCCGATAGCCGGACGGTACGTGACTTGATGTCGGCCGATTGATTTCCCGAACTCGTCAGCGAACCTATTAAGAGTCTTCTTGTTCTCATCCGTAATCAAGTTGGACAGAAGGCCGCCAATGCCGGCGATGAGGCCAGTACTCTCACTGGGCGACTCGGGCCCTGGGTAAATGTCAAGCTTGAATGTGGCAGAGAAATCTGTATCAAAGAAGGACTCGAGAAGCTCGTCAGCGAGAACGACCATCCGGAATCTAATGAGGTCTTAGTAAAAAGCTTCGCAGGCTACAAAAGAAAAAGGAAGCACTCACGTGGCGAGATTGAGATACGGTGTGTTGGTTGGGGGTTCCGGAGCCCTTTCACCCTCAGGTACCTCAGCTTTCTCATTGTTTTCAGGCTGCAGCGCATCGCCGTATTCAAATGCGTTAGTCATGAAGTTTGATACAGTGCCGAGGTATGCGTCTCCGATTTCGTTGCGGAAAATGAACTACGCATTTATGAGCGTGACATCTTTAAACATCCATGCAGACGTACCAGCAGGGACTCGGATAGCTGCAGAACATCATCTCGGGTAAGGAATCCGTCTTTGTCCTTATCATGCAAAGTGAAGAACCACTCAATGTTGGACATCAGATCATTGAACATGACACCGTTGAGACCTGTCACGATATCTTGGAATGACAGGGCACCGCGGTGGGAGACATCCCAGAAGAAGAATATCCTGTTGATAAGCTCATGCTCAGCTACTGTCCGATCGATGCGTTCCTGTCATCCCATGAGAGAGCATAAACGAGCATTGTCATGGAGACATACCACGAAGGCATTAGAAACTATGCTCTCATCTCTCGCCCATGTCGCCACGTTGCTCAAGAAGATTCTGAAAGTCTTCAAGTCGATCCTTGTCTCTGGTCGGCCCTGTGCATCGGTTGTCTCAAGCGCTGCAAGGGCGCTGGCCCCACTACCAGAGGCTGATACGGCACAAATCGCCTTATATAAGGTGTCGTAGATTGCGCCAAGTTGTTCCTTCTTGAATGCACCAGACTCTTTCAAATTGCGGACAGCCGCGCGCTTGGTGAATGACTCGATACCCGATACAATCTCGTTCCGATGACGCTTCCGCTCCGAAGTAATCGTATCGTCTGTGATGACAGAAAACTCGCGGAATGCAACAACCAAGAGTTCCTGGAAATTGGTGATGGCACGCATTCGAGAATCAGAGGCATGTGGATGGGCAGAGTCGCCAAGTGTGTTGAAGTAGTCACGCATCAGACTGCGTCACATGATCAGAATTGTCAATGAAGCAGGTCAGACGAACGCACTGAATGAACCCCCCATCGTCCTGGATTTCAAGAAGCTTCTCGCCATTGATTTTCAGAATGGCTAACCCGATCTGGAAGAGGACTTTGGGGCCCATCGCAAAGAAACAATCCACTATCCGGAAGGCAAAGATCATAGGCATGCTGTTGATATACAAGCTGAGAAACCATGGTAGACTGGCAACGCTCAGCTGGACGTCGACGGTATGAAAGTGGTCCGAGATGATCGGTAAGCATCGTGAAACAAGTGATTCAAACACTCGTTGGTCTAGGAGGGTACCATGCATGGAAGGACTGTAATATCCTGGAAGCAGGCGGTTGCAGAGGACCTCCAGCAACCAGAAAGCCTGCTCTTCGGACATGTAGCTACCGAAGCGTTAGCATATATGCGATAAACAGCATATACTACAGGAGGATGCACTTACATCAGAATGGCTGCAACCAAGATATTCATGGCCTGACAATACCCCACTTCGCGGTTCTTCCAGCTGTATGCTGTCAATACACGACGCAAAGTTCCGATACCAATCTCGGTTTGATATGCACGATACTCCGGGAGACTACGATTAAGATCCTTCTCAATGTCTTCGGTTGACGTAGATGTCTCCCCTTTGTGCTTGGCCAGGATACCCTCGTAGACACCCTGATTCGCGAACCGCAGATAAACGGAGCCGGAAAGAGTCTCCCAGAGATCGCCTCTCAATCGGTTTGGTAAGCCCACTTGGATGAGACGTTGAACAGACGGATATCGAACCAACGTGACGTTGCGGCCGTGTGCTGCATAATCGGTTAATAGGCGCATAATTTCTGGGAGGAAAAGGCCTCACTTCTCAAATACTCCTTCCACAGTTTCAACTTTGACTTCTCACGCAACCTAAACGAGGGCCTCAGTCCGCATTTCAGGAGATAAACTACGGGCACACTTTTTTGGGTCACCAGGAAACTTAAACGTCAAGCCCAGCCCGCCAAGGAATTCTGTTTGGGCTTCCTTGATGGTCTCGTCGACACCATCCTCTAAACCATCTTTAACATCGTCTTCGGCGTCTATATATTCTTCGCCGTCTTGCTTGATCAAATGTTCCGAATAACACACCCGGATGAAGGGGCGAAGCTTCTTCATTTGTGGAAGTTGTGCCTTCAAGGCATCCCTGAGCTGGGCGCAGAAAGAATCGGCAGTAGGGCGCAACGATGTCAATTGCACATTCTGCGAGCCTGTCAGCTCAAAAGTAGCAGATTGCCGCTCAACACGTACAATCTTCATCTGGTGCCATAAGACCAGTGAAAGTTCAAACATGCCCGCTCTAGAGTTCACCTTCTCGACGCGTCGAATGGTATATAGGGGTAAGGTAAAACGCGCCGACTTCCTGTCGAGGGAGACAAAGGCCAGAAACGGGGGCATGAGGTATAGCCTGCCCGACTGTGCCTTTCGTTAATATTATGCTCAATCCTCATATACAAATAACAGCTCACATATGACTGATCTTCTCCTTTCAGTGACATGACTGCGCTGATCTCTGTGACATCCTTGCCTGTCGGCGGTATGTCGTCCGGACCAGCCGGATGAGCGTTAAAGAACTCGCGAATGCCCTCATCCTTCGTCGGTTCACGGTAGTTGCGAAATTGGGCAGATATAGTGGTCATGGTTAAGATCTAAGAGAGACGCCGGAGATGCCTCTCTGACACGGATCGTCCCTAGTGATGCTACTGTAACACAAGGTAAGCCGCCCCTTGGTTCCGTGACTTCTCTTTTCCCGCGTCTTCACGTGCCGACATACCAAAGGCGTGTCGTGTGCCTATCCCCGAGTTCCGCTCTTTCCCTTTCTCTTACTTTGTTCACTTACGGCGGCCTGTGATGTTGCATCCATTCTCTGGCAACTACAAAGCAACCCGCAGGCCGCCGTCATATACCAAAGGTGTCCATCTCTCATCGTCTCCCCCAACCTCACCTCTCACGAGTGCCGCGGACGAAGATGAGGACGTGCCGATGTATGACGATGAGCCCCAACCATTCCTCCTCGACTTGGCGGATGAAGATGAGGTGACGAATCAGCTGTTCAATGATGACGATTGGGAGATGGATGGGACGGAGGATCGGACAGTTGTCCCGGACGACGAAGATGATACTAGAGTGTGGGACGCTGCCATGTCCAGCGCATTCGACGCACGTGAACATACGATAGATCTGAGGTGAGAAGCACTGAACGCCAGTTCTTGTGAATAAATAACTAATATTTTGAACAAGCGGATGTTGCCTAAAGTCTATCCATCCTATGATCGCCGATCTGTCCCATTACTTTGTACTGCCGGACACGGTTCCTCAACCGAACGCAAAGCAAGCGTTCATCCGAGCACCATCCGCACCAACACTGAACTTCAAGCCCCCTTCGAGAGGCATGCAGAGATCCACCACGCTTTCCCAATTGAACGATAATTTTGCTTCGGGGAATCGGCGTGTCGACCAAAGTGTATCTCTCTACCTAACGAACAATTCCATTGACAAAATCACTGTGGAAGTTTGCGGGATTGAAAGATTGGCGGTACTCAGTTTGCGTCAGTAATCCCCATTGTCTCTGTAGCGTGTGTGACACATTGTGTAGGTGCAAATCAACTAACCCACGTACCGGATTGCATTGCCCTGCTGACCAATCTGCAAGGTACGGTCTGCTGAGTATCATGGACAAAAGATCCGCTTATGATATCCCAGAACTGAGTATATCTCAAAACAAGATTGCCTATCTCCCTGCCTCCATTCTCAAGCTTAATTTGCGCGTGTTTGCTCTTCGACCGAACCCATTACTCCCTCCTCCACAAGATTATCCTGCCACGAGCCTGGGCCCACTAGTCCGTCACGGCTGTCCGAGTTTGAAGGAACTTTGTATCAGGGCGCTCACCTCACCGCGACCTTATCCACCGATACGAAACTTTGCGTTACCTATTCAAGAAATCGCGCAATCTCTAGAAGACTCTTTGTATCTCTCGCTTGCGCCAGCACAAAAATATCACCGGCAGAAGGCAGATGCCTCCTTGAAGCCCATCTGCTGTCCGAACCCGCGGCACACAGAACAGGATGGGGGAGAGATCTGGTTTGTGGAGCCAGCAGAAGAGAGGTTGCAGTGGCTTACTGAGGTCGCGGGTGTGGATATGGGTGACGCAGTGCCAATTCTGTGGAAGGGATGCAGCATTGGGGTGCGTCAAGCGATGTCGTCAGTCCACAGAGTCAAGCTTATCATTCTGCACAGTGCCTTGACTTCCTGGAGAAAGAATAGGGGATATCATGTGAGTCAGCTTTGGACGATACCCAATTTCATTCCATAACACTGTCCGCATACCGCAACATCGTCATCAATTTCAACTTGTAGAAAAGCCAATAAACATTGGTCACCTTCAGTTGAAGTCCATGGAGAGCCGGTCGTGACGCTCCCTAGTGTCTAGGAGGAGCTGCATAATGTCTCTTTCATCTTTGTCATGAAAGGGATAATCAATCCGACACCAGACTGCCACGGCGCAATGGCTTCTGAAACCCTGGCTGCGTCCGGACTTCTGTTTTTTCTAAAGTTTTTTCCGAGACCGTTCGAACGATCAGCTGATACGAACGGTAATAGCATCAAGATTCAGTTCACCCCGCATTTGGTGGTTGTATCTTCCGATTGCTCCCTATCACCCCGAGTCGAACTCCGATCTAGCGTCTCCCACACCCACGTCTGTTGGTCTCAATGTCACCTTGACAATTAACCACCATGTCGTCATTCGTACACAATGAAGAACTCAAATACGAAGGACCGCATACAACGGCGGAGCTCATCCGCCTCCTTGATGATGCCAAGGACGCTATGCGGCCTTGGGCCGCAGGCTCGGAGCCTCCTGACGACTTCAGGAGGCGAACATGGCAAATGGCGGCGTCACACGCTACCTTTTTTTTGGCGCTCAGTCACATCCTGAGGGTGAGAGATGCATCGGTTCGGTTCGGATCTGCTACTCAGCTCCTTCCCCAGATTGTCCCCACTGTTCCTGCTGCAACTACCAACGAATTTGTGGAATATTGTCTAATGTGGGTTCTTTGTGTTGAACATCACCACTGGTGGGAAGAAGAGCTTTACTGTAAGCAAAGTGCGACGCAACTCAGAAAAATGCTAACCTCGACACCAGATCCGCAATTCAGTCGCGGAATGCATACTGACGAGATAATCAAGGAGCATGAAGCGTTCAAGGGGGGCCTGGAGGATATGAGGGCGTATCTCATGTCCTGTCTACCCCCTGGTTCGCCACATGGGTTTGAGAGCAAAGTGACAACCAAGGAGAAATTGGAAGACTTTGACGTGAAGAAGATGGAAGACATCATCTGGACATTCATAATACCATTTATATCACATGTGTGTCTCAGCGTCTCTGGTCCGAATGAGCGCTTATTGTTTTGCAGCTGACCGCTGAGATTGATTATCTGCACCCCGACAAGCTCCGCGCCGCAGAGAGTTTGGAAGAAATGGAGCGATTAGATGAGTGGAACACGTCATATTTCAAGAATGAGATGCCACTCGATACTTTCATGACTTGGCTAGTCCTACATACCCCAGCCTGGACAGGCTTTCCGCCCGCACCTTGGTTCATCAAGGCGGTGATGCGTTGGTCGGTATATTGGAAGTGGAGGCGCTGGTAGCAATTTGCACCTAGGAGCCTGCAATGATGCATAGTATTTTGGTGGCCATATGCAACCTTCATCCAGACATGTTCAATCTCTGATTCGTATCATACGAGCCTCCGTAGCCAACCTGCAAGTACGTAAACGCGTAATTCTCGAGGAGACCCTCAGCTTGGGACTGTGGGTCCACATTACAACCGTGATCCCAAACCGTCCCATCATCATCCTACATGCCATATCCACACCAATTACCCCCCCCTTTAGCTATCATGCTATCATCAAGGTCTCAGAAGACAGCGTTTTCGAAGGTGCCCATTGCGCTCCGGCGCCTGATCGTGCCTTTCTCCGTCCTCGTCTGCTTCTCCTTCCTGCTTACTTTCCTGTTCTACCTACACCGACCTCGCGGACTTCAGCCGATCCAGAATATACGGTTTGGATGGCAAGCATGGGACGCTGTGTCTTATGCACCTCAACCTGATCGTCCAGCAAGCAACGGCAGCGGAGATACTGTCAAGCCGCCTCCAACCCAAGGGAAGCACTGGTGGGAGATACCAGAGGTTAGTGATGGCACAATCCCCCAGACATTGCCCTTGGACATATGGGATCCGCTGCTCCCTCACAAAACTGGATGTAAGACCTTAATCATCTGTTACCATGTATTATCGCTGACTCTGTGATAAGTGACTGAATTAGCGATCGAATCCTGTATTTTCAGCCCCGTCACAATGGAGTTCTGCAATCCATACAGTAGCCCGGCAGCTGATGCCTCAAAGGGGAAATGGGTTCGAGTAGAGAGAGATCTGAATTGGAAAACTGGGCTATGGTACCTGGTGGGTTCCTGCGCAACCTCTCCAGGGCGACTCCTTGTTCATGTGCTCCAGAACCTATACTATCGCCGCACTCGAAGACTAAATGTGCCCCTCATCACCGATCTCGTTCTATTACCTGCCGATATCTGCCCCAACACAACATCAACGGAAGATGCTACATGGCATCGAGTCGCACGCAGTATTCGGAACGGAGTGTGGCCGACACAATCCGACTTGTAGTGCGTTCGTTGCATATCGACTTCGAAGTGGTTAACCTTATGCCATACACAGTTTGTGGTATGAATTGGGGGGACAGAAGGATATTATTACGGAAATTGATGTCCTATGGGGCGAAGGTCCAGCATGGCTTGGCTTTGAAAAGCTGCAGCCTGCAATTGTTGAGAGGAACAGCAAGGTTGACAGCGTGTGGTTAACTTATAGGCGTGGTGTCACGCGTGCGTTTATTATGTGCTGTTCTCAGACTTTATCTGATTTCTTTGTAGCTGCACAAAAGGCGCCACCGTTACACTTCCACGACGACGGCACCTTCACCATTTTGCAGATTGCCGACTTACATTATTCTGTCTCTATCGGAAAATGCCGAGATACAGACCGCGAACCTTGCGTCGAAGGCGACATGATAACGGCTGATTTCCTGGCGCGAGTTCTGGATGCCGAGCGACCCGATATGGTTGTTTTCTCCGGCGATCAGCTGAATGGCCAAGGAACAAGTTGGGATTCGAAGTCCGTGATTGCCAAGTTTGCTCAACAGGTCATTGATCGCCAAATTCCTTGGGCTGCGATCTTCGGGAATCATGATGATGAGACGGATCTGAATCGATTGTCAGAAATGCGATTATATCAGGCGATGCCCTATTGTTTGGCTAGTCCCGGCCCCAGCACGGTAGACGGTGTCGGTAATTATGTGCTGAAAGTACGAAGTGGAGATCCGTATGTCAAAGATGAATGGACTGTGAACTTGATCTAACAACTCTGCAGGTCTGCAACCCATCTGCTGACCTTGTATTTCGTGGATTCCGGGGGATATGCAAGAACGGGGTACAATCCGTTTGCGAAGTTACAGTACGACTGGATCAAGCCCGTATGTCTTCTTGTGACCCCACGGAGAATACGTGCTAACCCGTCCGAAGTCACAGTCGGAATGGCTCTTGCAGGAGTCGGCGAAAATTCGGCCGATTGAACGTCCCTTCACCCCAGATGGTGCGTCCGACCTCGGTCATCCGTGGACAAGAGACACCGGCATGCGGCGGTTCTCGAAAAAGGAAGGCGTGGTATTGCATGGACGAAAAGAAAGAACGTTAGCAAAACCGAATGCGATGATGTGGTTCCACATCCCATTGCAGGAGTCTTTCGCCGATCCGGATATGGACGCAAATTGGAACCCACTCGTTATTGGTCAACAGCTCGAAGATTCTGGAGCATCGACCCACAATGGGAACTTCTTTGAAGACGGCATATTGCTGGCAGCAGAAAGTGATGCGGGTGGACATGAAATAAAGGTCGTCGGCCATGGTCATGATCATAGTACGCGCACGTCACATGAACTTCGGAACAAGTTTTTGATTCGGTTACAGTTACAGATAAATGTGCTCGGGTCAAGGGTGTTTGGTTCTGTTTCGGTGGGGGCGGATCATTTTCAGGATACGGCAAGGTTGGATTCGATCGTCGACTTCGGGTGTACAAGATTTCCGATTACGGCGAGACTATCAGGACATATAAGCATACGGAACACGATAAGATTATTGACGATGGTGAGTGGCCTGCATACAACTATGCTCATCAATTTGAGAACAATTTTTTTCTAGTCATCCTTGTCGGAAAGGGGGCAATAGATGTTGGGGCGCATATACCGTCGTGAGACTCTTGGCTGGGGGACGCCAAACTCGGACTCGCAGTTATCTAGTACCTTTGTACCATTGATACCACAACGCAGTAGGAATGTATGTTACGTGATAGGTGTGAACTATGCTTCTGCGGTCTCTGCAGGCCTGTAACTTCCGAGGGGAATGGCCAACCCCTCCCGCTCCGCCCTTCGCCGTAAGATCTCCCGCAGGATCTTCGAACGCGCACCGGTCATATCGCCTTTTGGTTTCCATCCCCGCACCTTCGCCTGATGCTCCTTCTGCATCTTTTCCATCCAGGTCTTTTGGAAATTCTCCTCTTCCCATTGTTCCCTCTCCTTGCGCTCCTCAGTAGTCATGTCCTCCTTCGCTGCCGGATAATAGAATGGCTCGACGAGACCAACGAGAGCACGCTTGTAGGTTCGGCGAGACATGCGCATCTTCTTTCCTCCGTCCAAGCTGCGAACAATCTGAGAGATGAAGTTCTCCGTGCGAACAAAAGTCGTTTCGACACCGTAGACGGCCCAGAGGTAAGACTTGATGTCCATCTTGGTGAGCCCTCGCGGGATACGGAAGGTTGCCATGTACGGATCGTACGGTTTGCCGGGAGGGGTCGTGTTTCGCACAAGGCGAACGATAAAGTTGGGCATATATATACGCTGACCCACAATTTCCTTCGGCTTGAGTGATAGGTGGTGTTGAAGTTCCTCTTCAGTTACCGCCCCCTCACTTGTCTCCACTCCTTCCGCACCTTCTACCACCTTTCCATCTGCGTCAACCTTCGTCTTCCCCCCCATAGCATCGGATAACGGGTTGACGGTTGTGGGTTCCCTACGCGAGTACTTGACACCACGAATACGACTTCTCCAGGCATAACGCTCGGCGAGCCAGGCCTTTAACGTAACGCCTGCTGGGATTTTATCTTGTTGCACAAGCCACTGCCATCTTCTGTGGTCTGCATCAGACATTTTGACGCCATCGACCTCTACGACCTCGCCGGTGCCGAAACGATGTCGCCGAAGACGTACGGCACGAGGAGAGGTGGTGAATGGTGATGCTTCCTTGCCCTCAGCGGGAGGTTGGGGGACCTTGAGAGCGTATGTACGGCGGCATGTGGCGGGGAGAGGTCGTATATGAAGGAGCGCCCGAGAGCTGGAGGCTTCGAGCCGTGTGAGCGCTTGTAGTAGCATCGTGCACTCGAGGTGAAGCACGACCTGAAAGTCGCGACTGAGAAGAAAAGGCAGTCGCACTTTGCTTCCGCGAACCAAGCTTCTTCCTGGACCACATTGGAGAAGTCGATTGCAAGCTCACTCGCATGAATATTATTAGATCTGTACGGCCACCGTGTTTTCGCGCAAGTATTCTCTCTCGATTTACGACACACCGCATGTCGTCCACCGCACCGAAGCGAATCTTTCCTCCTCTGTACAGTGCTACCGGAAATGTGGGGAAGGATCGGCTAGCGTTCTTTCACATAATAGAACGTTTAAAAGTGACAAACATTTCGCTTTCCGGTGCGGTTGAGATTAACTTGTGATTTAGACACAAAAGCGAACTGGTTGGGTTCAGCATAAGGTATGTAACAAATGTGATCGTGCTTCATTATACATAATTTAACCTCGCACTCGAAGATCCCTGAGCCCGAAAGGTTTGTTCATGCATGTGTCACGTGGCCAACAAACTAAGGACCAAAAGCATCGCAGATCATATGTATCGTATGGCTGTCCTGGCCATGTGCTGCGAAGATGCGACATTAGACATCGCCAAGTATGCTGTGGGTTGACCTACTTCCCGACAATCACTGATCCGTACTTTGGCTAGATGCGTCATGCTTGCGGTGGTTCATGATCTGGCCGAGGCGCAAGTAGGAGATATAGCCCCAAGCGAAGGGTTCTCCAAGTCCGAGAAGAATAGACTGGAAGCAGTAAGTATTGGCTTGATGCAGGCCACGCACCAACTGAAATTTGTACCAGGAAGCGATGGAGAACTTCGTTCAGGAAATGCTTCATGAGAGCGAGGTTGGCTTGCGAATACAGGCTCTTTGGATGGTGAGACCCAAATTAAATCGCGGGTTGAGGTTTCTCATGAGTGTTATAGGAATACGAGGAAGGAAAGACACCAGAAGCGCGTTTTGTGAAAGGTATTTCCCTCATCCCTGGTTTCTTTCGCGCCCCGCTGATGTTGTGTAGATTTGGACAGGATGGAGATGGCTCTACAGGCAACGGAATATGAGAAGCGGTACGATCGTGATCTGCAAGAATTTATAGACTCGAGTATCCCCAAGTTACAACATCCCGAAGTCAAGCAGTGGGGCGATGCTTTAATGGAAGAACGACAAGCACGAAGTACTGAGAATCCGAGCTCATCTTGAAGCCAACAAACATGATATATGCACGCGCTTTAGATCACGCATGTTCCGTGTATAAAACACATGGATGATCGAATGATTTCATAACAGGCCCTCTCGGCCGAATTTGATTTCTGCATTCCTGTATTCTGGTACAGCCTAATCTAATGATGGAACAAGCGCAGACTAGTATGCGCAAAGAAGATCCCATACCCGTCCGCAGCCTTCACACACTCGGCATCCATCACACTCCCACCGGGAGCAGCAAGGTAGCTGACCCCGCTTTTCCTCGCCCGGTGGACGTTGTCCGGGAAAGGGAAGAAGGCGTCGCTGGAGCATGCAACGCCGGACAACTTGGTGCTCCACCGTTCTTTTTCTTGCTCGCTTAATGGGCCGGGGACGCTGTCGAACAGCCCCTCCCACTGGGCCTTCTCCGCGCCCTCGAGCTTCTCCCCAGTGACGAAGAGGTCGATAGCGTTCGCCTTATCCGCACGCTTCGTCCCCTTCTTGAAGGGTAAAGCGAGGACACGAGGGTGGTGCCGGAGCCACCAGTTGTCCGCTTTCGCACCGGCGAGACGTGTGCAGTGGATACGCGATTGCTGGCCTGCGCCGAGCCCGATGATTGCGCCGTGCAGGGCGTAGGCGACGCTGTTGGATTGGGTGTACTTGAGCGCGAGGGTAGCGACGATCAGGTCGATCACTGCTGCTTTGGGGAGCTACGAGTCGTTGTCAGAGGGGGAATACATGGGGGCGAAGACACGCACCTCCTTATTCTTCGTGACGATGTTCCCAAACAGCTCTGGGGTGATCTTGGCCGTATTGCGCCCTCTGCCTCGGGGGGAACTTATGCCGGGTCCATCTGGAGGATACAGTATTTCCCCGCCTTCTTCTTCTTTAGTACTTCGAGCGCCTCTGGCGTATACCCGGGAGCGACGACCCCGTCCGACACTTCCCGGGAGATGATCTTCGCCGTTGCCAGGTCGCATGGAGCGGAGAGGGCGATAAAGTCCCCGAAGGAGGACATGCGGTCTGCTCCCCTGGCACGGGCGTAGGCGCACGCAAGTGGGGTCAGAGGCTCCTTGAGGTCGTCAACCCCATACACCTGCTTTTCCGTCTCGTCCAATTCTAGGCCTACAGCCGCACCAGCAGGAGAGACGTGCTTGAAGCTAGCAGCTACTGGGTGATCGAGCGCCTCCTGTAGTTCTTTGACCAGCGCCCAGCTGTTCAGCGGGTCGAGGAGGTTGATATACCCCGGTGCACCGGCCAGGACAGCAAAAGGGAGTTCACCGGACTTGACGAACGCCTGTGCTGGCTTCTGGTGCGGGTTTGCCCCGTACCGGAGGGGGATCCTCTGGACCTCCGGCGAGCTTCTCAGCCGGCAGGTCGGCAGAAGCGTACTGCTCCCGGAAGTAGCTGCTGATCGCCTCGTCGTACGCGGCGGTGTGCTCAAACGCCTTGAGCGCGAGGGAGCTTCTGAGTTTCTGCCCTACATCCCCTGCGCCCGTTTTCCACGAAGCGAGGAACTCGGCGTAGTCCGATTGGTCGGACAGAGGGACGCGGAAAAGTGCTGAGTTTCATTGCCTCAAAACTGGGTGCTGGGGCCTGATTAATAGGCATGATTATAAAGAGCCCCGGTAGTTATTAATGACATGTACTTTTTATAAGATATTTACACTTGATTTTAGCCCCTTTTAATTGTTAATATTTTTATTAATCCGGTTTGATACAAAACTATCATTATTGCCATTGCCATTATTATTATTATCATTTGTCATCACCTTCTTCATCAATTGCTCTCTTGTTCCTTCTGCCATTGCCTGTCCTTCTCTCTGGTCCTGGTCTTGTGTCAGTAAGTCCTTTCCAAAGGAAATGTGTCACTTACATGCACATATATCTCACTTGTGAGGTGCCAGGGCATGCTGAGTCAGGTGCCAGAGAAGCAAGGAGTGAACAGGTGTGGGAGGGGGAGGAGAGGGAGAGAGAGGGGGGATGAGGGGGTGGTGGTGATGGTGGTGATGGTGGTGGTGGTGGTGATGGTGGTGGCCAAGGATGAACCAGAGCTAGTGGTGCACTAGTGAGTTGGACTTAGACAAGCATGGATGCAAGAAACCTTGATGGCAGTGCAAAAGGGTCCATAAAGCACTTGGCTTAATTTCATGCTATTTACAGAATCCACCCTTGAGGTGCTGAATTCCTACTTTTCAGTACTGTGCATACTGAAGGCAGGACCCTAATCCATGTCCAGTGGGAGAGCACCAACACTTGCGCATGGTTCTTTGCTGCTGTGCAAAGTAATGTCACTCCTCCTATATCAATCTCCTCTACAGCTCCTTCAAGCATACAGTTTGGCTGGGCCACAGTCTGCAAGAATGGATACAGGTTGCACACCTGTGAGGGCACACCACAATAACAAGGCTGCCAGGGGTAGACAAGTATAGCAGAGTATAGCAAGAGCGTAGGTGAGTATGGCAGGAGGGTGGGATAGTGGAGGTAACTGGTGTATTTGACTGAGTGCCTGAGTTCCTTATGGTGGGGGATTTCTCAGAGACCAGATCTGAGGAGAAAGAGGCCCTAAAGGCTCCATATAAATACTCCCATGGCATAAGGCTGATGAGTCTTAGTAGGAACAGCTGCCTAGGAGTAAGCATGGGTACAGGCATTGTGGAGCACCATGGAACAGAGGTAGGAAAAGCCAGAGGTGGTAGGAACCACCTGTCAGGGCACCAGCTCATTGCTTGGTCAAGAGACATCACTAAGCCTTTATGACATGAAAGTAGCTGGTATACCTTGGCTGGTGCCCTGACATCACCCCCCCTTCTAGACATGCTGTCCCAGCATGTTGATACTCCTTCTTCTGCTTTTCCCTTCTTCTTTCCAGATGTCCAATCAAAGAGAACCCTTTTAGGTGGTATAGTATA